TAGCATCTGGACCCTGGCATTCATTCGTTCCAGGTTTGTTGCCCTGCGATTGTTAGCTTAACTGTATAGTAGGCGAGATTCCTAGCTCGGGTAGACTAACTTGCTGGTTAAACTGGCACTTGTAGGGGGCAGTTGAGATAATAGCACTCATGGACGAGATATCGAAACCGAATAGCGCGCCACCTAACCCGGTTATTAGTATCCCGCAATGGCAAAGCCTCGAAAAACGAGAGGCGGCGGCAGCATATAGGTGAGGTGCTTACCTATGACGGACGTGGCCGCGATAAGATAAATATTGCCAAATTTCTTCATGGTTGTCTGAGACCCCGCGTGGTCTATTAGCGACGCATGTGGCTTGTTAGGTTGTTTAGGTGCGGAGTGTGCAAGAAGAGCAATGTTAAAAGGTAAGACTGAAAGGTGAGAGAGGGACTATCCATTATTATATGCAGAAGGAGAGTGCCCACGGTTGTTGTTGGGTGGCCAGGATTAGAGTGGTGTAAGTTTTAAGGTTGGTACATGCATACAAACAAATACCTAAGGTTTACAAACATGTCCTAGCCCAGGTAGCTACGACCCTAGGACCCCGGTTGCTTTGATTTGGCAACAAAGGCAGGTTTGGTCACTGGACCTAACCTGCCCTATTGCCCTATGTAATTGCCCTGTCTGCCTGCGTGGCGCCCCGGCCGGGGGACGTTACAGATGAATAGGCGGGTTCTACATAAGGTACCTAGCACGGATCCCCAGATTCATTGATCCACGGATTTGTATAGGCCCACCCAAGCTTTGCTCTCTCGCATTTCGGTGAATTAACGTTTTGAGGTAATTGGCCCCAAACCCATCAAGCCTGTCAAAGCCTGTCAAGCTAAGCTACGAGATCGTCACGGGATGGACGAATCAAGCCATACTAGGGGAAAAAAAAAGCATGGAGCAAGCAAACAAGCAATTATATCCTTGTTCGGATCTCGTTAGATTTTTCCCACAACTACAACAACGCCCGAGCTCGTAAATGTGTGTTCCCAACTAGGAGGCCAAAGCGGAGAATGGGGGTGACAGTGGTCTTCCCAGGGCAGTGGGACTCGCCCACAAAAAGTCTGGAGGTCACACGCGTGCTAGCTCTCCCCGTCGTGCCATATGCGGATAACAAACTAACCCACGGGTAGAGGGTAGAGGGACTTTCTTACGGCGGCGCTTATTGGTTACTGGAATGTTCAGTCGGGGAAGAGGGTTGCATGGCAGCATGGGTGTATGTACAGCTGTCTTAGGCTTTTAGCATTTTAGCATTGAACCAACAGCATCCCGGGATTTTGGATAATCATTTCTGGCACGCAAATAATCACCGCCCGACTGATCAAATGAACCCAGATAAAATGTAGGCTTTCTACATAGTATGCAGAAGTCGAGCGTAAGGGACGGCTTAATTCCATCATCCATCATTTTGGATGCAACCAAATCTAGAATTCCGGGGTAAGGTCTAAGAATCTAAAATTGGTCCGTTGGTTGTCTCGAGCAGAACATATCAATGGCATTCATCTTGCTGCTGTCGAATTCTTGTCTCAGTCAATTTTTCGACGATGAAGACGGCAAGGTGCGGAATTGGAGAATACGTGTCTTGGGTACCCGATATGATACATGTAGACTTGATAGGCTTGATATACGTCGCTCGCATATGATTGCGGAATGATGTCAATGTCCTATGAAGAGAAGTTAGTGGTGACGCCCCTTCCCTCCCAAATCCATCAATGCAACTCCACCACGGGCCGAATAGAATTTGGGGAGAGCTAGGGACCCTGGCTATTCCCCAAACCCCCTGGGGAAAGGCTCGGGGTAATCCATTCGACTTTTTAATCCGCTTTTCGAAGCTTAAATCCGTTGTCTCGATGAGTCCGAAGATTAATCATCAATTTTCACCCTCGTTACATACAAGCCTAGCTCAGCTTTTCGTTCTTTTCAAATAAGTTTCGAGTCTCCGTGCACCAATACGATTATATTACGCATAAGAATATGTTTTTTGTTCTTTTTTCACGAGTGTGACTCAGCAAATTCCGCGTAACCAATTTAATTATCTGACCGTAATACTATAGTACACCTAAGTAGTTCGTGATAATACTTACCGAGTTACACAACGCATTAGCGGTCTGTCAATGAAATATTAGCCTGCGGATCCCGACAGCTAATCCCTTACCTAACATAAGCTAAGAAAAATCTTGTTTACTTAGGTACTCAATTAACATTTTAGCTAACATTAAATTTGGAAATAATGCATGCAACATGTTCAGAGCCGAGCCGTAGCCGGAAAGGAGTAAAGACACGCGAGCCTGTCTTAATTAGCCCGACCGGGAACTAGGACGTTTGCGGCTTTCTAGACTAATTAGAGGTTTACGAAGCGCGAGATTGCCATTCTTTGATATGACATCTCTGTCGAGTCCGTATGTAACCGCTTTCATGGTCAGTTGAAAGAAAACATCGCCACTAAACTTATTCATAGCTCAGCCGTACTCGCAAGGATATGGCCAAAGCCAAACTAAACCCACTATCCACGTGAGTAGTGAAGGGAAGGAATATGGATTCGTTCTTCGACAACGCGGAGTGCGACGCGACGTCGCACAACCTGAATCCTCCCGGGTTTACTCACGCCAGAATCAGAGCACGACCTTCCCCTCTCATCGCTAGCGCGCTTCCTTCAGCTTTAATGAGCGGTAAGGTACCATCGTATTGTACAACCACATAGCAGCCCTACGTTTCGTTCGGCGTCGCTAATGAGGTACCTCTGGCCTTAATACCTACCGCATCTACTAAGAAAGAATTGATTCTAGGGCACGGACCATGGGAATCAGCTACACTATATTTGCAATGACTTAAACCACATCCGGCTTTCGCTAAAGCACCCCATAAGCATGATGTGCTCAAATCATTTCCAAATATCGTATAGCTGATTCCCATGGTCCGTGCCCTAGAATCAATTGTTTCTTAGAGAATGCGGTACCTACCTATCAAGCTGGAAATGAGAACCGCTCTACCTCTTTAGTCACCTAGGTCAGGTATATGAAGTATGCTAGCACTGTTTCTACAGTATCGCGTTGATGCGAGACAAATACATACATACATGGAAAAATACTATAGGATCCAAGTCATGCGCTCGTTTGATTCAAAATAAAAAATTTGGAAATATCAGACGACTTTGTCGAAAGCTGCCCAGTCGTTCTTTCTGGAAAAGGTTTATTGAATCCTTCCGGACTTTTAGGTCCTTCATCCTGTCGAGACGGTGCATGCCGAACATCAAAGTCCTATCCACTAGCAATCCCTTAGCAATACCGACATATTAGAAGTCACACTTACACTAATAAGTTCGGAAACGGGTGATACAATGCGCATTACCGCCCAGAGCTAGCGGTATTTGTTGGTTTCTAGTTGCGACAAACCATGCTGTATCACTATTGAAATGTCACTAATCTCGTATTTCCCGAGACTCTGGAAAGCCGTTATACCATTTTCAGCGGTTTATAAATTGCCCGGGTCAAGCTAAACATTTCGACAGCTCATATTTACAGCCTCGAATGTTTTAACGATCATGTCGAGTATATGTCTGTTGTTGGCATGAATCCGTTCATCTCATGTTCAACATGAAACTAATCCTACCTACGGCACACCTCACGAGCAAAGCAGAAGTTGAACTTTGACGCTTATATTCACAGGTAATTTCAAATAGTGGAACAGACACGTAAACAGATACGTATGATCAACCAAAATATGATCATGAGATGTCTATGCTTAGGTAGGCGCCGAAGTTTGATTCCATCCCTTTCCCGAAACCTCTAGGTTCACCGCATCAACGATGGGCGGTCAAAGAACATTGGGCAAACGGGCTTCGCAAACCTAACGCCACTTAAGAACACATCAAGCATAGGCATGTAAGGAGAAGGGATGGAAAGCCACGACCAACTTTTGGATATCTAGGACACAAACATACCGGGGCCGATAATAGGACGTTGCAAAGTCCTGGTCTTTTATGCCAAAGCCTTCTTTATGGAACGTACCTTTCGGATGGGGTATATAGCAGATCATTCCCCTGGGATGACCACCAGCGAAAATATCAGCGATCTACTTTTGATCGAGGTCATAATCCTCATCTCGCCCACGGCGCGGATAATCAAATTCTCCTGCATGGAAGTCTTCTAGAAAGCTTCCCGCTTAGCATTTCTTGCCAGTGGAGCTCTTGAGTTCCCGAATATGTAAAACTGATGAATAAATGCAACACAGAGTCACGGTGGCGATGTTATCCCCTCAGTTCGCTCACTCCTGCCAATGAAAATTCGTCGTTGTGACTGAGCCACAATGTTCGAATCTTGGGTATTTCGTCAACAGGTACCCGCCTATGTGCCTATCCGTGTAGGCTAATAGGAGATGCCAACCAATGAACTTGTTAATTTGGTGACTAAATAAGAGGGAGCCAAAAAGCAAACCGTTAAAGCATTGGACGTCATACATCTTTTGCCGCTATACGTGCATAGATCTAGATGGATACCTCTTCCAAGTGTCCAAGATATTCATACATAGTGACGAGCATCCTCGTTTACTTACAGGATAAGTACCTAATTTTTTTGAACTTCTCTTAATTGCAACTAACTTACAATCACGGGCAGTTGATGATAAGATAGGGGGAATGCAAAGATTTTTTTGCAGCCGCACGTGGTTTATAACTTTAGTTTAGACTCAGCCCTCTAGCGTCGGATAATGGAAGTCATATCCATACAGGTATGTACCTAATCATAAATTCAGGTACAATCCCGCACCTTCCGAGGATCTTTAGTGGGTACCTAGCTAGGTATGTAGTGGGTACCTCTGATCACTTCTGAGCAATATCCAGATATTACGGGCTTGGCTGTGCTAAACGAAGTACATGTGACGTCTTTTGTGAGGTATGCACCTACTAATCCTTACAGTGACTTCCACGAATTGAATGCTCAGCCACACGGGACAAAGATACCGTTTTGCGCCTTCGATAGAACTTTGAATCTTAGCCATCAATAACAATTCACTCTTCAACGACATTGTCAACATCGTAAGCGCTTGTTCAGCTCTCTTGTTCTAATACGATTTGACTGGGCATTAACAAGAAAGAAAAGTTTTGCTATTTTTATACTATCGCACTTCCCATTACTTCTACGCGAAAATTAATACGTACTTTCGCGACAAGATTGTGGCGTCTCCAGTTACATTCAGTTCATTTACCTTGTAGACTGACGTCGTCACCGGACGAGGGTAGCGAACTTAGCGGGGCGGCGATCTCAACATATTTTTCTACCAAACTTACAATCTCTCACATTTACATTTTACATATCCAAAGACCGAGTTATCTACCCCATCGCGACAAAGATGGAGTCGGAGGGACATCTAAAGAGGAAAGACACCACCAAAGGTCCTCCGTTGAGGATTCTTAGCTTGGGTAAGTGGTTTACCCCGCCACCTTGATAACTTGATACCTGCATGTCTTGCATACGTGAAGACTAACTTGGGCGCTTTGCGCGATCGCAGATGGTGGAGGAGTCCGTGGCTACTCTATGTTTATTATTATACAAGAAATAATGCTTCGAACCTACGTTGAAATCGAAGGGAAAGCACCAAAACGCGATCAAATCCCGAAGCCATGTGATCATTTCGATTTAATAGTTGGAACCGGCACCGGCGGCCTAATCGCCTTGATGTTAGGGCGACTTCGACTGAACCTAGAGCAGTGCAAAGAACTGTATGTTCGGATGACCAGGATGGTTTTCGAGAGCGACAAGACTTTTGCTGGTATACCATATCGCTCGACATTATTTAAGGCGTCTATGCTTGAGCGCGCGATCAAGGAAGCCGTAAGGGAACACACTTGGTCTGACGATGAAGGGAATGACTTCGGAGCGGATATTGTCAGCCCGATATCTGCGGTGTCGCGGACAAGCGCTGCCTCGAGCGGTTTCCCGCGACGACACCAAAGCAACGCGAGCGTCATGAGTTTCAGTGGACGTAGCCCAGCGAGCCAGGCCAAATCAACATTCCGCGGTGGACAGGGTAACCCTGATGCACAATTATATGATACGAGAGAAAACAGGACAAAGACGTGGGTGCCATTTCTTTTAATTTTGCGGTATAATGGCTAATATTTTCGCAGTGCTGTAACGGCCATGTATAAAGGAACAGTTAGGGGCGGTGCTCCTGCGCTCCTCCGTTCATATGACTCGAGAAAAGAGCCTGCCCCAGAATACGACTGCACAATTTGGGAGGCTGGTCGGGCAACATGCGCGATTGGGTTGGCGTTCAAGCCAGTTAAAATTGGGCAAACGGTATTTCATGACGATGGTTCTGGGACTTTTAACCCATCTCCTGTTGCCCTCGATGAGGCTACGGTTAACGAATGGCCGGGACGTGATGTGGGCGTCTTCATCAGCATAGGAACCGGGAAACGGCCAAAGGGTACGGAGCAAAATTCGCACCTGTGGTACGAAGGGTTTATGGGCGAGTGGGGAGAAGCAAGAAGGAAGTTAATTTCCAAGGTGGAAGGCTGCGAAAAGATTCACGAGCGCATGAAGAATGAATTATTGATGAAAAGGGGCGTCAATATTGAGAATTACTATCGATTTAATGTCGAAGTCGGCGTTGGAGAGTTCGCGATGAACGAGTGGGATCGATTAGGCGATATCAGCACGGGCACAAAGAGATATCTATCTAGAGATGCCGAGCAGAGAATGGTGCAGGAATCCTCGACAAAATTGGCAAAGATTCACAAAGCAAAGCAAAGGTATGAGAGGCTTGGTCGCATACCTGACATCGTGTCACAGCCGACTATGGGATCAATAAATGCACCATTAGCGGTTGAGCTTCCAGGAGATTTCCCTACATCATTCCAAGTCCGAAGCAGTCCGTCGAGTCGACAATCATACGAGTCGGGCATAGACAACCTCGACCACCTTTCACTCGGTCCCGCCAACCCGCCATCGCCTCGTAGTTCCGATGATCGTTTCCGACCTGCAACCAGCCATTCATCTCCACCTCAAATAACTACCCGCCCGCATAAGGCGCCGTCCCCTCCTGCCTCATTATCGGCAGTCAGACCTCCCCCGGATGACGAGCCGGACCGTCTCGTGGTGACAGCTCCTACGCCAGCACAGTACCGGAATGCTGCTGGTAGTGATAAAATAGCGATCATGGGAGCTGACGAGTACCCACGAAGGCAAAGGGATCCTATTGCACAGCCTATGATAAAACCATACCAGCCGCACCGCATCGAGCCACCCCCTCTACCTCCCAAGACTCCGCTGCCCGAAAGGCAGATCCCAGGTAGCCGACGTCCTACCAGAACCGAGAGTCCCCTGCCGCCATACCCTGATGAAGACGGCCCCCCGCCAGTAGTAAACATGGCGAGAAAACCGGATTATAGGGGTAGATGATCGCCTAACCGATCATTATACAAAATTGCAGTTCAGGAGCTACGACGCGGTTCGACCTAGAATGGTCTACCCGCCCAACTAACTTTCTTACGGTCCGGCGTCTGTTGGGGTGTTTATAAATAGGCAAGAGGCCTTGGCTTGGACGATTGATGATACCATTCGCGCTTACGGGTCGATGCTGACGTTAACGAGTTCTGCTATAAACCTATGTATAATGACGATGATGTTCGTTGGAATTCCACGAATCAAGACTACGGATACCCCTTTTGCTGTTATTTTTTTTTATGAAATATAAGTTATAGATCTTTAGGCTAGCTAATGCTTTGCAATTTAACGATTTGGCTGACGAATATTATGATGAGATACCATGTGGATAATTTGGTCTATTGTCTAGTTGTGAAGTGCCTCTGTGTATATGCCTTGCATTGTATCTCTCACTGGTGATTTGTACCGGTTTTCTTATTGCGCCAGTGTTAGGCCCATTGCTTAAGTAGGCACCCAGCTCATCACGGCTTCATTACAGAGACATTTTCGATGGCTATACTATAAGACACGTGCACTTACTGAGTATCGCAGTCTCGGGGTAGTTTCTGGGGGCTATCTCTTGTATGCTTATTAGAGCGTTGCATGTACGCAGATATTCTTAGAAAGACAACTTGGAAACTCAAATTCCGATTATAAAACCTGAAGTGCCTACCAACCGCTTTCAACCAATATCCTTTCTTCGAGTAGACTATTCAGAGCGGAGGAGTTGAATCGGCCTTTATATTGACGTTTCATTTCGGGTTGTTCCTATGCGGGACACGCTTGAAATAACGACTCGCATAGCCTTGTAAACATTCCCGGGCTCGGAGATTTAGGTCAGCGAATAACCGTGTCTGCGACAGTAAGAGTAGCGTTCATGTTCGAAAAGGGGGATTGGCAGATGAGTTGAGTTAAGTATCCTCTCATATATCAAGCCAAATGGAATCAGACCAAAGTCCACGAGAATCTTAAGACTCTTAAGTTAAGCGGCTCTGTTGTATATATATGAAACATTGCTTGCCAAATATATCCTTCAGTTGATCTTGGCTATTCCTGCCCGCCCGATTAACCGTCGACCGTGTGGCTATGGAACCGGTATAACCCTACGGAGAAATACTGCCGTGCCAGATTCCCAAACCCAATCAAGCAGTTCTAGACGCGGGCACATGGAATATAAGCGCGATCTGTCAAGGTGGAGCCAAATCATCGCAGACGATTCGTCTAAAGCCGAATTCTTTGCTTGGCGTTGACTGTAGGTGTTGGTAATGTTGGTTGTAGAGACTGGCTGCGCCGTACCCCTACTTCCTAAATTGGCAAGATTAAGCCCTATACAGATGCCATCATTGGTAGAAACCCTTGGTAGTCCTGCGTTAGGGGTCGATGTCCTTTAATCCCCCTGTATCATCCTTAATTGAGCTGTAGATCTATACATATATTCTCTCCACCGGCTTGCTGGGTGTATACAGGGACATCAGGTCGCGCAACTGCTTTCCTCGTCTTCGTTTTTGCTTGACAGTCATTATTTGTTCGCATTATGTCATAATGCTGGGATGACCGTCGATATCTTGTCCTATCCGATAGCAATCGCGAAGTGGCACAACATTTGAGGCTGCCGCAAATCAATTGCAGAAGGATAAAGAAGGCGGGCCATGAACGAGCCTCCAGACCACAGGGTTTCGCAACCCGGGCTCGAAATTGTCTATCCCACTGACCCGGAAGTCATATATCCACCGAGGGAGACACATCCCGCTCTCGTATCCGATCCGGGAATCATACATTTTAAGAGCGATGGCAGTCCGTACAATCAACCCCAGGTCTATGGAGCGTATAGTTGGAAGGAATTACCACCGCAACCACCGCAACCACCGCAGCCACCAGTCCAGAGCGGAAATAGCGAACGGAAGAAGCTATATTTCTTAATCGGAGGTTTAATTGTTCTCGCAGTAATTGTGGGTGCGGTAGTCGGCGGTGTTTTGGGAAGCAAAGCCACTTCAAGCGATGGATCACATGTGTCCTCAGAACCAGTATCTTCAAGCTCATCTTCGCCAAACCCAACCTCCACACCAAGTAGTAGCACTAGCCAAAGCGTAAACACAACAGCAATACGACCCAAGACGAGGCTCACTGTGACGGGCCGACGCATACAAGGCAACGGCTTCACCTCGCGACTATTCTGGCAAGGAGGCGACAACAAAATCCGCACATCGCGGTACAGCAGCAGCAGTAGTCAATGGTCAACTCCGCTAGTCTTCGACGACGTAGATGCAAAGCCCGGGACGCCTATTGCCGCAGGCCTTTATCTAGAGGTCCCGCAGTTTGAGTTCTTTTACGTAGATCCATCATCGACGTTCCAGGGGATCAACTTCTTCGAAGACGAAACGGTGCCCAAGATCGACAGCGTCAGTTCGGAACGGATGCCTCTCACCGTACCGAATGGTTCTAAGATGACCGCCTATTGGCCGTACGTCATTTATCAGAACACGAACACTTCGTTCCATCGCCTGGTTTACGACGGACATACCGGCAGGGGCTGGTTCAACGACACCGTGCAAGGCTGGGACCACCCGGATGATATTCCGCTGGGCGATGCGAACTCTGGTATCGCTGTAGTGCCCATGATGAGTAGCTTCCAAACCCCATATACAGCAGGCCTTGCATACCGCGATCCAAAGGGCCGTCTCTCTATATTTCCATTCGGTGGCTTCGATACGGGTATGGCTTGGTATTTTGGTACGTAGGACCCTTTCAGCATCCTTGACCCCGATATTGGCTTTTTCGTATATTAACGACTATATAGGGACGCCCGGCGTCACAATTCCCTCGGGAACATCTATCGCGGCATTCGCAATCGGGCGGCTAAATAGCAACACGACGAACACTTGGATCCTGTATCAAGACGCAAGCAATAAAATCCAGTCGGTCTGGCAGGGAGACGACAATGAATGGCAGGGCCCCCAGGAAGTGGGCGACGCGGACGCCGGCACGGACATTGCGTGCTTGACCGAGCAGGTCGGTGATCAGCCTTCCCAGACAACCCTGGCGGATCGGACTGATATGAGACGTTGTTATTACCAATATAAAGGCCTAATTCGCGAGAAGCGACTTACATCTTCTAGCTGGGTGGACGGTGCCGCGATTCCGATGGAATAGGTTGGATAGATCTTACGGGGTATTGGTTAAGTATTGTAATTCGGGTAATTTAAAGCCGGGCATATATCATGGAATGCAGGAATAGGCTATGTAAACTCTATGGGGGAGGTAGCTAACTTGAAAGCTCGGTGTATGCACCGAATCTAATGAGAAAAGGTCGTAAACTATGTGCGTAGAGTAAAAAGCTCTAGGTAAGAGCAGAACTACAGCTCCAAGTCATCTGTCATTCAATGCTTAACTTCTTCCAATTATAAAGCTTCTCCAACAGGTATATTCTACGTCTCGAAGTAGACATGATAGCCTGTAAGTACTCTCGTTTCTTCACGTATAGACCTTAGTTTATAACATCATCGAAGCTCAGCTTGGGGGCGGGTTGCTACTTATCTCTTATCACGAATATGTATTGTGGCGGGGGAACTCAACACATCACCTGCAATATCGCCTCGAGTGTTCAGATCATCCAACAGAAATTCTCCATCGGATCTTTGATGGCGAAGCTGAGTATTCCCTGATTGCCGTATATGTCGTGGGCTAGTGGGCTGATTGAACTCGAGCGCTTCCCAGTTCATGCTCCAGGCCGCAAGGAACGACGTACAACCAGCGGCAAGCAGAATGATGAAGCATGCCCTAATGGCGTCGACGATAGCTTTCACAGCTAATCGTAGCACCTTCGGATCGGCATCCTTTAGGATCGGTGAATCAACACCCGAGAGTAGCTCGCGGATACTCTCATCGGAGAACCCCATGCCTCCGACGGAATCTTTTAGCGACTGGAAGCCCATACTCTGATAGACCATCCCGGCAATGGAAAGTGAGGCCGCAATGCCGCCTAACTGCGCCACGTTGCTTAGTAGGGCAAGATCCAGACGGTCCTCGGTGCTGGGTAGGAAGGTTGTGCATACTGGTACCCCTAACTGCCAGATGATGCCGAGTCCAGCGGCGACAACGCTTTCAAACGCCATGACTGCTGACTCAGACATATTGGTGCTTAACATCTGGAATATGCCCCCACCCACTAGAAGGAGAGCAGATCCGACGACGAAGAAAGCTTTATAGAATCGGAGGGTAGGAAGTAGACGGCCGCATAGTATGATAGTGAATATGAAAACACCAATAAAGGGCAGTAGTCGGGTCGCCGCCGCAAGCGGATCCAACCCGTACCCGAAGGCAAAGTATATGGGCACATAATATAACGTAGCACCGTATGACGCGGCGGCACAAAATGTGCAGATCCAAGTGAGGAGGATAGTCCGGTTGTGAAGGAGCGAACTAGGAGATAGCAGGCGGTTCTCGGGTGTTGTACCGAGATTGTATGCCTGCTGTAGAACATATGTAATCACGAAGAAGGTGAAAAGGATCCAGGTGGCGATGCCGGGGTTAATTCCCCAGGTCCCTGTCGACCCGATAAATGTACAGCTGATTGCAAATAGGAGACAGGATCCTATATGCAGTAGGGTACCTATCCAGTCGACCTCCTTGATGTGCGTCCATGTTGTTCTAGTAGTTGGCATACTATAACGAGGGTAGAAGAGAGCTTGAAGTACCAAACTAATGACACAGAGCGGTATCACTAAATAAAATGCCTGGCGGTGTTAGTCACTTCCACCTAGTTATAGATTTTAGGGGACATAATTACCCATCGCCATGTGGTATGGCTGTTGTTGGCAAAGGCGCCCCCTAAAATACGCGTCAGTTATCGAATGCTGAAAGGCAGGACTATGAAGTTTTAGGAACTAGAATGAGACGAACCGATAACCGGACCCAGCACCAAACCCAGGGCAAAGCAAGCACCGATAGAACCCTGTACGAGGCCAAGTTCGTGGGGATACGTAAAGATGATATTAAAACTCAGGATACTATGTCAGTCGTTAGGAAATTGCCACTAAAACTTAAGAAGGGATTGAACTATACCCTTGATATATGATGCTTGAACCAAGGGCCATCACAGCACGTCCAGCGATGATACACTCGATATTAGGGGCTGCACCGGAGAGGGCGGAGCCTCCAATGATGAACATCATGGATGCGAGACACAGCGTCTTGAAGTCTCCGAACTTGAAAAGTTTACGACCTAGGGGAATCAAGGCGATATTGCAAACCGAATAGCCGAGCGCAACCCAAGACAGTAGTTCGATATGCCCGAAAGCTCTGTAAATAGATGCCTGGATATTGGCGACATTGCTGACATCGTATCCTAATCGGCCGGTAGGTAAGTATCTGGTGATAGAGGCAGAGAGGACAGTAATGTAAAAGATGCTTACCGTGCATTATGGTTAGGAAGCCATTGGCAACAAGCAACGCCCTCCATTTCCAAGTTGGTAGGCTATCTCTAGGATGTGAAGCAGCTGCGGGAAAATGTAATTGCGTGCCCTCGCCTTGCTGGATGTTGGCGTTTCTATGAGAATGTTCCAAGTCCGCTTCCACGAAATGCCTCGTGCCTAAATTCGGACGCGACATATTGGGATATGATGTTCTACTGCTTCCTCGCTCTGAAAAGTTGTAGGAATTCGCTATGGAATAAGTATAGAGCGGGCGAGCAGAACCATCAACCAAGATATTCGACTGTTGATGACCTTTGGTTACTCCATCAGATCGTAGATCTGCAGCCGCGAGTCGTGCAGCAGGATAAATCGATACGTTAACCTCTGAGTGCCGTTTTGCTTGTTACACAATATTCACCCTCTTGATGTGTTGTTATGGGTTATTGACGTGTAATTTTTTAGCAGTTTCGGTCCAAATTCTCCATTGTCCCTGAGCACTCCCTTACATCAGGCGGGTTAGCGCAAGCTCTAAAATGCGGACGTGGATACCTAACTGGCAACCGTTGACACAGTACCTCGCCTTGCCTCTTTTTGAATTGGAGTTGGTTTGATGGAGAAGATGTGGATGGAAGGTTAGGAACAATGGTTCTAGGTTCCAACATTGGCACCTGCTTATATATACCTACCTATATATATAGGCAGGTGCTGCCTAGGTAGGTCTTACATGAGGTAGGTAGCACAACTACGTAACGGAAGTAATGAGTTAGGTACCTTAAACATAGGAGGTACGTTAGGTAACCCACCGAGCTGCTTTTCGAGCAGCAATACAATGTCAGGTACACCTTCCTCGCTGTTTCCATTTAATGACGGGACATGAGCTACATGCACCTGTTCATTTCGGTTGTGTAAATATTTGATTGGCCAAATATCAAATTCAAGTACCTGGGGCACTCTAGGTGAATAAAATTGGAATTGCAAAATTGCAATACTCTCATCTGTACCACTACAGCGGCTATTCCATAGTACATCGTGTAACGGACGTGACGGCATCACCTACACCATTTTTAAACCTCCGAGAATACCAGCATTTTACTACCTAAGGTTAGGAACACTTATACACTGCAGTTATTACCTAGTATCACTAATAAATAATATCTTCAGCTCGAACTTGTTTCTCAGTCTATCCTTCCAAAACCATTTGGTATAAAAGTCCAGGGAGATGTAGGTGGTCTTCCTCTTCTCTCATATTCAGTCCCATCATTGCTCGCACAGCGGCGGATGTCTCCTCTCGGTTATGAATATCGCCTGTCCATCCTAACCAACCCTTACCAACTCTGCCAAATGCGATAGATGTTTGGGCCTGGATAGGAACAGGACCAAAAATGCGAGACTCGCTTGTCGATCCCGGTGGGGAAGCATACCACGAATCAGCAGGAGGGACATTTTCGAGGAAAACTCCTTTCTGAGTATACGCAGCTGCTAGACCGTCCCGCCAGAAGTTCCGAGGGCCAACAGCAGAGCTCTGGAAGACAACTGTAGTTGTCTCGTACTGGCCATATCGCCAAGGCAAGTCCCATACGTCTTTCATCCACTTATCAAAGACGGGAGGCCGAATAACCGACGAGAAGAAACCACCCAGGATAACGATCCCTCCATTTCGGGCATAGTCGACAACTTTTCTGGACAGGTCTTTATACTTTGGGGTTGCAATATCAGGGTCAACGATCCAAATGGCCCGAGCTGATGGATGCTCACTTAGAAGCTTCGCCGGGGCATTATGCTTTGAGTAGGAGGCTTGGTAGACATTAGCCTTCTCCTTGATCTTCTTAAGGCTGTCTTCTAGTTCTCCGTAGCAGAACACCAAGATTGTGGGTTTAGCGTCAGTCATGGTTGAAGATAGGTGGGTTCAGGATGCAGAGAGAGAACGAAGAAGTTCCAGGTTCAAAAAAGGTATAAGAGGGAACCTATTAATATTCCAAGGGAAGTTTATCTTGATTGAAAGGTTGCCAATGATACCTAACAAGGAGACAGCTGCTTGGTGCCTGTTTCCAGGCAATGGACTACTGGAATATTCGACGAGGCAGCGACCATATACTGGGAAGTATACAAGACACACTCGTAAGTTACATACGCGTAGGCGCTGCTAGTATTGTACTGGACATTCAACTTCTGAGATCGCGAGACTTAGTAAGTTAGGGTCTCGTCCCGACCATGTGGAATTTTCAACTAGACGTAATATGATCATAATACGACCTGGCAACATCTTCTCAAGCAACTCAGACGTAAATCTTGATCTAACTAATTATAAGACGAGTATTATTCCTCCAAGGTTGGCTAATTGGTGATGCAGCATCTAGAACATAATTTTTAATCAGATCATTCATAATTCAGCCTGCTGATCCTAGCTTGATTTACCCATCTCTCGTATTGGTTTCCTGGGATGCTACCTTCTCGCATGTCGGCTATATATTACCGTAGTATCAATACAAATGACTGATAAACACTTCGCATATCTCACAATTTATATAGAAATAATCTTCGCCTTCTAGAAATGCCTACCTATCTACCTATATACTATATATTCCTGCCAGGGCTGACTCCTTTCGCAGTGTCAATCAGGGGGTAGTAGTATAGCGGACCTGATGAGTGAATAGTCTATTAAATCGTCCTCGAAGGCGTAAGGCGAGCCAAAAGCTATTCAAGAGAGATAATCATGAGTTTCTTACTCCTAGTCGGCCTGATTGTTCTGCAATTGATCCTACCAGTGTCCGGTGTCCATGGGGGCTCTGATATTAAACCGTACGCAAAATTCTCGAACAAATACCAATCAGGTTCGATTCACTAAATCCATCTTAGAGGAGGAGCAAAACTAAACGAGCTTTCGAATGCGCAGCTCCGAGCATTTACAAATCTGAACCGAGCGAGGAGCACCTGGCAGAGTAAAAACGGCACACATGCAATCGCAAGCCCATGTAAAGGGGGCTTTAAGAAGCCCACCTACAAACTTTCCGCTTTCCAGTTCAATAAAACGGGCATAGAAGTGGGCGACAGGAGCATGGCACACTTCGTCTTACACGACATTGCGAATAACGAGACGACTTCGTGTACGACGCCCTATTTACAGGATCCGAACAAGCCGATGTGGAATAACTGCGCTGGCGACAAAGATGCGGTAACCCCGAAGACTATATTCAAGTATACAGCTTCCGCTAGCGAGGTCGAAATTAACCAAATGTGGATATGTGAAGTCGAAAACAAGACGCATCCGTAGGTTCCATAGTATACCCCTTAGATGGGTTCAATATAACAGAGAGCTAACCTATTTGGCAGTCTACCTTATTTTTCATCGGCAAAGGCTGACCTTACCGGGCTTTTGGATTGCGTCGACGATCCCACGCAGACAAGATGTACAGTGGCAGACGAGAAGATATCGCCATTCGACGGGGACTACGTAACCCCGGTCTGGAATTCTGACACCATGGATATAATCCCGCCTTCTGAAAAGGAAGTCCTAGGCACGCCGTGGAATCCCACTCCCTGCATCGGCACGTCCTTTAGTTATCCGAACTGGGACGTGCAGAACGTTACGCAAGGGAAAGGAGATGATGGGACGACGTTGAGTTTCAGCTTGAGCAATCACGCCAACAACCAGTCGACAGCGTGCACTACTAAAGGGGGTGAGTGGTCTACCTGTGATAGCGATTCAACGGAAGTAAGGTTCACCGAAGAGACGAGCGAGCTCGCGATTAACCAAACATGGGTCTGCAACGGAGGGGACAAGTATCCAAAAGAGTACGCCAAGTCAATCCCGACGAAAGCTCTTGAACTAACCTCTCCAGTGTTACGTTCCGAGCTATCGGCACCGCACCTATAGATATCGAATCTAAAAAGTCAACCTACGTCAAAGGATCACTAACCGAGCCGATCGAACTGAGTCCCAACGTCGCCCCCGAAGGCGTAAACCACCCCGGCTGCCTCGAGACCTCCGAGGCGCCTACTTGGATAGTAACTTCTTGGGTATGGAACGAGAGATGGCGCAACGGATACAACGCCGGGGACCTAACGGCGACATTCCACAACCCCTCGACAGGCTTCAACCTGACATGCACCGGCGACGGCGAGGAACTCAACCGCGACGGACGGTACGGCTACGAGCGCTGGTGGGGCTGCAGCCTAGCACGCTCGCCCTTCGACGACTACCGCACCATCTCCTCGATCAAGCTAAACCCTCTGACGGGAGTCTTCTCCATAGACCAGAGATGGTACTGCAACGGAAACGGCGACGACAACCCCCCAGCCAAGTTCCGAGCAGTCGGGAACGTGGACACGAGCCTAGATTGCTCGTGGAACAACAACACCGCAACCAACACCTCCACGAAGACCTGCCACCAAACCGCGCTCCCCCTAACCCTACGCGGCACCGTGACCGAGCGCACCGACCTAGCCCAAGACGCCTTCTTCGAGCTTCCCCCCGAGGGCTACAGCTGCACCATAGCCTCCGTGCTCTCGACGCAATGGCAGATGGGATTCTCCTCCGACGCGCTGTACGCGGCGCCTACATTCGCAGACTCGCTCGATACCAAAGTGCGATTCGGCATCCAATTCGTCGCGATTGACGGGTTCCAGGGCGTCGCGTACGAGGGCTTGGAGACGACCCCGTATCTACCTACGAGCGACCCCGCGCGCTGGCACGAGTGCAAGGATTATATTGCGGGGGGCCAGTCGTCCGACGCGTGGGCGCGCCAGTCCCTGGATTGCAAGTGGCAGCTTGATCTTGCGACTGGGTATATTGCGATGAATCATACGTGGTTCTGCGACGACAAGGACCCCGAGAATCCGTAAGTTCTATCTTCCCTCTCCCCCTTTTCCCTCTCGTTTCCTCCGAAGTAAAAGCTCGGATCTGATCTGATCCTTGAAAATAAATTGCAGAATTATCTTCACAGGCTCGGGGAGCAGATTCTACGACACCTCTTGCTACGTCTACCGCGGGGACGACGAGATCTCGTGTCACCTAGTGGGGTTGAATCCGCCGCCTGTATTACCGACGTACTTGTCGTGGAAGAGTGTTCCCGCCGCGGAGTTAAGGGCTTGGGATTGACAGCCATCATATCACAGTGCTATTTGTAATAAAACACTGTAAGTCTTACCCCTACCTATACCCCTATCTACCAAGGTCGATCCGGAACGACGTAGTTTATTTATGAAGTCGCTAAAAATGCTCCTGTGGCAATAATTCAGTCGATTTATATAGTACTGTTTGCTCTAAAATCATCAAATGCTACGAATCATAATTTTCTACCTCTAACATTGGAAAAAGGGAGAGTAGGGAGCAGAATAGGCGATTACTTATCGTGTGTCCGATCCAGGGTGAAAATGGCAGTATATCTCTGCCGCTTCTGTCTGAATATTTCTGCTGTAGTAACTGTGGAATTCCATCATTTTCGCTCATTACGAGATCTACCCTCGTATAAAATAAAACATCGCATGCCACTTTCATTTCCATCGTAGCGGTTATTTCTGCGCCTGGTTATGTCACCGACTCTCTCTCTCTCTCTCTCTCTCTCTCTCTCTTATTTAGTAGTCCCCCAGCAGCGTATTTATAGTATAAGATGCCGCTGTATTTACTGCGTGTAATACACAAACGGTCCCGTGGAACCATTAACATAGTACTGTACTTGCGGGCTCGGGGCCGGCGGTGGTTGCGGCGCCGCGCCCACAATGTAGGCGGGCTCCGCGATGTACGCTTGCTCTGCCGTGTAGAACTGCGGTGGAGGGTTTGTCTGGTTGGCTAACGCGCCGGCCCAGAAAGGCGACTGGCTGGGGTAGCCTAGTTTGATATCAGCTTAGTCTATGTATTTGTATATAGATATCTGCCAAGAGATGGCCTAGAGGAAGATTTTTGCCATTATAGGAACTTACACCATGAACCTTGAGTACCGGGCTGTGGAGCAGGCACTGAAGGAGCCACCATCGGTGGGTTGACCCAGAGATAAGGCTGTTGTTGCTGCTGCTGCTGCTGCTGCTGCTGCTGCTGTTGCTGGGGGTTGATATTCACATTACCAAAAGGGGCAACCTGGGTAGGGGCTGGAGTAGGAGTGCTGTACTCGAGTTAGCTAGGTCTGTTTATGGTTTTTTGTATAGCCCGGTTTCGCCTTGTAGGGAAGCACTCACCCATTCAGGATAATGATAGGCGGTGGGCTACCGAAATTCGGTATGGCGGGACTGGCGCCGGGTCCGATCGGCGGGGCGATGTTCGATAGGACACGAGGGGCATTAAATGGGGGATACGCAGTAGCTGTAGGCTGAGCGGAAGCCGAAAAGGGAGGAGCAACAGGGGGGAAAGCGCCGTTCTGGTTGGGGTCTGGTGCAGCAGCAGCAGCCGGTGCCACAGGAGGATTCGGGGGTGGTCCACCAGGAGGTGGTGCAGCAGCAGCGGCGGCTGCAGGGTCGGGCTCCGGTTGGGTCGGATCTGACATGGAGACTTGAGAAGGAGAAGACGGGGGAAGATTTGTAGGCTGTTGGGACGTCGTACCGTCGGGATGCTGGACAGCAGCAACGTTTGAAAATCTAACTGATCCTACTCTTGTCGTAGCGTTCGCAGACGCTGAAAGGTAGTTCATACTGTGAGGAGTCTCAAGACGAGAATAAAAGACTGACGCGGAAGACTCTGCAGTCACGGTATATGGTGTGAGAGTGTTGGTGGAACCTGAGGTATTAGAAGAAGATTGCGCAGATATAGGTGCACATCCAGCTGAATTGACTTCTGACCTAGCAGAAATCGACGTAAAATTTGGAGGGGTCAAAATAGACGTGTTGGCAGATAGTCGATATGAATCCTCACTGCCCACTAGCGTGCCAGACGAACAATCGCTAGCCGGCGAACTGGGCGAATTATTTTGATGCGATTCCCCGACTACCTGAGTACCTCTGTCTTCTGGTTCAGGGGACACAGGCTCGTTGACCTCTATGTTAGGGGAGGCAGGAACAGCTGTGTTTTCGTCTGGTTGATTTGATTCGTTCTCAGCTGCTACAGTATCACTGTGCCCTGGATTAAGAGGCGCAGAGGTAAAGTTATCGGTAGTAGGCTCGTCGGCATCACTAGGCGCTTGTGCAGCCGTTTCGCTTTCAGCGTTATCTATTGTGTTGTCAGAGTCTCGTACGGGCTCCTCATTCGCATCTGTGGGATTCATCGTGTCGATAAAGATACTCATCTGAATAATAAAATTGTGTTAATGATCCGTGATACAGCTAAGCCAAAGATATAACGCGCTATTCAATAATGGTACCCCTGAATGTTCTATCTCCACTCCACATTGAATAACTTTAGAGTGATTGTAAAGCTGTTGCCTGTAATAAGGATATAAACAAGGGTCTAAGTAAATGACATATCAGGTGGATATAATATTTAAAGCATAACTCTAGGGGATTGAGGTAACATAATAACTGAGATGAACATAATTTGGGGGTGTCTGGCTTCCTCTGATCTAAGAAGATGGGATGAAATTGATCACAATTAGATCATGTGGTTCTCTTAGCTGCGTAAGAAGATACTTTAAAGTATAAGAAGCAAAATTTAGCAAAGGTAATAGCATTACAACTGATCGAATAAAAGAGCTTACCCTAGGATGTTGGTAGGTAGCTTTAAGCCCTCATTGCTATCAGGGTCCAAGTACCTAATATAGTACCTTATTTTCGGGTACTTAGGTATTAAGTAACTGAAGCAAACCAGAGGAACAGGCCTATTCACCTTGCGGTAAGTTAAAATCTGAGATGTGCTCCCTATTTACTTGTAAGTTCATCTCTTTGATCTCATCGCAACCAACACCATAGCTCCCACGTAACATATTCGATTTTCACACATCGCTTAATTTGATTTCAAAATTCAATAGATTCTTCGCTGCGTAACTTGGGCTAAGTAGAATATATGGGGTAAAAAAGCAAAAGTCACTCGTTACTAACGAGTCTATGTCATGAAGCTGCCAGTAGTTATAGATGAGACGAATGGCTCCCCAGAGAGCTCCCTTATGATGCAGTACGTAACGCCGAGTAAACCGGCAAGTCTGTTTCTTGTCCTATTGACATGGTAAAATATGTAATCGTCCGGCACTGTCTCCTTCGACGGGGGGTATAAGAGACTGATGAGTAAGGGTATGATGGTCGTATATCTGCGAGATAGAGAAATGCCTATATGTTCACGAATATGCCACCTTCGTAGGATGGACCCTTAGCTGCACAGCGGGAACCAGAGCTGGCTCAGGGGCATAGTAGCCCCTTAATTCCTGGGACGGGTTTGGTGGGGGTATCGCCCGAGGACCTGGAGGCGAGTAGTATCCAGCCAATTCCGGGTTATCGAGGATCGTTGTGGCACGGCCCGGCTGTGATATAGCAGCAGCAGGAGCTACTGAACTTGCGATGGAGGACCTCGGCGAGAATTCGACTCCCCGTAGTCCATTGTCTCTAGTCGGCCTTGGTCTGGCGCGGAATAAACCACACAGGTAGGACCTTGATTCATTCGCCATCTGACTTATTCCACCATTCAATACACAGTACACTAATAGTAGCCTAAATCCCTGTTAGCCTTAGCGCCTTACAAGAGATGAGAAACTCACAGGTACAAGGTACTATATCAATAATAAACTCAACGCGCGCAACTAAAAACAGGCTACACAAACACGAATAACGAGCGACAAACAACATGAATGGATTTGAAAAGGACTAGAAGAGCTTAAAAGCAAAACAAACGAAAAAAGACGTCGCGACTGTAGGCAAACACCAACCCAGAAGGTGACTCTAGCTCTTGATTGGACGGTACTTGGACCCACTCGCCAAGGCAATTTCTCTTATTTCTCCTAATTGTTAGTAGCTGATATAGTCGTAGTTATTATACCACCAAAACACTAACAATTTCCCTCTGCATTAAACCTACCAATGTATACCCATCCCCACACCCATGCCACCGCCCCCAATCTCAAGTATGTATCTCCTATCTCCTATATTCACATGCTACCTACTTCACAACCACTCAACCTCTCAGCAAATAACCCTTGCGCGTGAAAAAAAAATAAAAAAAATAAAAGAAGAAATCAATAACAGACAATAGTTAAACCATAAATTACCTACCTTACCTTAGTAATAAAAACAATTCCACAACCACAAAAATGCTCATCCGCACCCTCCCCCTCTCCACCCCCCTCACAATCCCAACCGAGCCCCTAACCCCCATCTCCTTCGCCCCCTTCGGCGCCGTCTTGACCAACCCAGCCCCCGACCTCCGGCCCTCCGCAGCCGCATCTTCCCCCTCTTCCCTGCCCCGAGGCTACGGCGCCGTCTCCGCCAACCAGGGCACCGCCATCCAGTACCGGGGCTTGGCGCCCCCGCTGCGGGACCTATACGCCCAGGCTCCGAGCGGTAAGGCGGCTACGCCGCGGACTACCATGTTCGTGTGCGGCGCGCGGGAGCTGGAGTTGGAGTCGGAACGGGGTGGTGGTGGTAGTGGAGATGGGAGCAGCAGCAGCAGCAGCGCAGGTCTGTTTACCGTGCGAGTCCTCGAGCGCCACCCCTTTACCACACAGACTTTCATACCTCTCAGCTCCTCTTCTTCTTCTTCCCCACCAGCACAATACCTAGTCATCGTAGCGCCGACCCTGCCCCCCACGAGCGCAGACAACGACCTCCCCGTGCCCGAAGACACAGACACCAACACCACAGCGCAAACCAAGCTCCCGGGCCGCGGCATGCCGGACCTAAGGCGCATCCGCGCGTTCCTAGCGACGGGCTCGCAGGCCGTGACCTACGGCGCGGGGACGTGGCACGCGCCGATGGCGGCGCTCGGACCGCCTGGCTCCGCGGTTGATTTCGTCGTCGTGCAGTTCGCCAACGACGAGCCGGTTGAGGATTGCCAGGAGGTGGCTCTCGAGGGGGGAGGGGAGGGTGGCCCGCGGATAAGGGTTAGGGTGCCGGGGCGTAAGGGGGAGGGTTCGAAACTGTGAGGGTTGGGAAGTTTAGGGGGCTTGGGAGGAGGAGAGGGTGGCTCTGAGGTACTTACCTACCTTAGGTATGTATGCATGTATGTTATTATTACTGCCCTGCTTAGTACAGAGAAGAGGGCTACTGGGTTAGTTGCTTGTCTTAGCAAAGACTCGAATGGCTACTAAAAGAATCATCTACGCAAGAGGTGCCTTAGTTTAGACACCACCCTACTGCACCAGTCTTAAGAGACAAATATTCTAGGATAGGTACCCCTATTCCAGAGGTGTCCCGCATCTACGAAGCATATCACATTGGAATTCAAGCACGCATTCTACACCATTATTTCTTAGCAAATGCCAATTAATTAGAAAGCTACGTAGCTAAAACAGTCTGATGAGTAATTAAAAGGAGGATACTCCTTAAGTCCAAAAAGCGAAACCGTCCATAATTGTCTGCCTGTCCATGCGATCGTGATGTCCCTCTTGTCTGTTCGGCGTCGCAGTATGCTTCGTGGCGTGGAGACCGTACCAAGGAAATAGAAGATTGAAAACCGATCCGTGCTCAAATTAAAGAATCAATAGTAGAAGTTGCTTTTTTTTTTTTTGTATTTTCTTGTTTTGCTCCTTTTTTTCTGGTTTCTGGGTTGTTTTCTGCTCGTGGTTCTGCTGCAAGCGGATAAATCATTGCAATCTCTTCGTCCTCCGTACGCGGTCGTACAGGCAAGATAGCTTCACTAGCCGTCTATAATTCATTCCCCCGTACGCGATCGTACAGGCAAGACAGCTTCACTAGCCGTCTATAATTCATTCCTCCTCCTAGGTTACTGGTTAGCTTGATTGAGATTATGAAAACAGGCTCAATAGGGAGCGTAGGAACATATTGGGCTTACCTCTCGTAGTCAAGAATTAGTACTCAATGCCCACCGTGGTCAGCCAATTCTGCTCATTCATGGCTTTCCAAATTTCCTGGGTAGTCAGGTTTGACTTGATCCTCTCTTCTTCGACCTGGTTGTCAAAGGTATCGGAAGGATCTAGGCAGTCGTACATGATGATATCTCCTTCGAAATCGGTAGCACGATCATCTTTCATCCCATTGCCCGCCAGTAGGGCGGGTCGGAGTCTACCAATGGCTTTTCCGGGGCGAACAAGGACGTGGCTCTGTTTTCGTAGCTCCAAGATGTCGACTTCTATGGTATTGGCGGTAACGAAGTGGTAAACCTGCACCGCCTTCTTCTGTCCATATCGAACACATCTGCCTATCGCTTGTTTCATGCAGGAATCGTAGTTCTCCTGTAGGTCCACCGCAAAGGGGCTTACGAACATGACATGATTGGCATATTGAAAGTTCGAGCCTGCGGACGTGACGTCGTTGATCTGCAAGATTCGAAGCTTGGGATGCTTCACACTGGCTCCAAACCGCTTCTCCCAGCCCTTAATCTTACTTCTTAAATCTGTATCACTTTCTTCATCTGACCACTGAAGGCCACGTTCGTCACATCGATCCTGAAGGTCGGATCGTCCCAATCTACCCAACTGATCGACAGACCTCATCCGATCGTCCATTCTTTTAAGCTTCTTGGCCTGGGAATCAGTAATATGGAAAAATCCAATTCCGTTCTTTCTCAGGGTATACTTGAGTTCTTCGAGCTGGCTGTTGTATTGAAAGAATACAAGACCAAACTCATCAGCAGGAATCGCCTTGGCCACATTGGCCAACATCTGGAACTTGGAGCTGATTTTATGGCACGGGGCATCAGTCTGCGTGCCAAAACCGAGGTCAAGACGTCGCTGAGGGTTGTTGACATTCTTCAATGACATAGTTGCGTCTCTCAGCAAAGATGAGCAACGGTCACCATTATCTCCACCGCAATGAATCGAGTTGAGATGATTTTTGCAAAGTAGATGGCCACATTCGCAAACGATGTACAGGTCTTCTCTGGGTACCATTTGTCCGCAAAGGTCGCAGTTCATTTCCCTCTCAACCGACATGAGATTCTTGGTAATCCGCTCTTGCTTAATCGCATATATGACTTTCTCGAAGGTCTTGCGCAACTCAACCGCTGTGTTGCTTACATCATTTCCAGTGAGCGTATACTTCCCACCTCGAATCCTGGTTGTTGCGCCGATTCGGGGGTACCTTTGAACATTCATCGCCTCACACTCTTCGTATCCGACATACTCGTATTCCTCAAGCTCACCCTTCACATGGGATTTCAAGAGTGCCACGAGATTGGCCTTCGTAGCAGTGGTATTGAAAGCGATACCTGCGGCACGGCATAAGTTTTCAAGGCATGACTTGTTGCTGGCTTTATCCACCTGTTCCTCTGTGATTCTCGTCGCTAGAGACTGTACAGTCTCCTTTGGCTTCATAAATCGTTCTTGGCCCTCTTTGACGAGCATGCTTAGAGCGGCTCGTGTATCGCCCCTCATCAGGTCCATGCTTATGCTATCATTGACACGAGTCAGGTCCTGTAGCAGAGCAGTAGCTTCTTGTTCGTCTATGGCTTTGAGATCACCGGATTCCAAGTGGTAATAGTCAATCCACGTGGTTGAGGTGAATGTATTGAGAGCATCAAAAAAAAACTCTTCGCTCATGCGGAAGTAAGGGTAGCTACCTTGGACAAAATTCACTATTTCTTCGTATGAATTTCCATCCTTGGTGATGATTTCTCGCGATAGCTCACGCCAGGCATCAAGTCCACCACATTCAGCGAGACTCTTCCCCCAGATATCTCTAAGAAGCATGTAGATATCAGTGGTGGCATTTCTACCATTGTCGAAACTCTTCTCCACCTCATTGGCCCAGATACGCTTGGAGAGCCAGATGGCTTTCTCGGCTACGATTCCAAAACATCGAAGGGCATTGAGGCGCACAGCACGTCGCTGCTCTATGAGACTTGACGTGGAATATTCTTCCCTGTGCCAGTTTCCGTGAGAAGAGCGGTGAATTAATGCGGCGGTGCCGACTTGCTTCCCGTCCGCACCCCATTCTTCACTGATTAGCGGCTGCAAAAAGACACGAGACTCCCTTGGCAGCATATTCGCGTCGAAGTTATGAGCCCGCAGATCTTGCTCTAGGTCGTGATAGTGGATGAATTCGTAAGGACTCATCTCGCATACCACAACTTTTTCTTCGACTTCAATGCCACCAGCAAGATCTTGGTCGAGGGGGTTGGAAGTCGCAAAATGCTCCAAGAACTTCATTCCCTGTTGGTGTCTCTCACGAATGGTCTGGTCCGACAGAAACTTGTTAATCTGTAGATCTTCCGCATTACTTCTATCCTCCAACTCAGGGCCATCAGTGATCCGAGGCATCCCCTGTCGGCGGCGAATTGGACGTGCAACGTGAACATTGAAGTGCTTCGCGGTATAGCATATAGCTGCTAAATCTTTGGTCGGCGGCGTCGCCGATAGAACCCATTTCGAATGGGCCTGCGAGTTGGCGACGAAAAGGGTTGATGGAAATCCTTCGTAGGAGAATTCGTCGTACACCACTCGAGCGAAGGTAAAAGCTTCTAATATGTGAGTGTATGTTGTTGGTTCAAATTCAGAGTTTGGATGCAGAAATATCTCCTGAGGTGACTTGATACTGTAAACTGTTTCTGCTCCCGCTGGTTCAGCTGAGTTTATAACCGACTTTTTATAGTCCTTAGAAAAGTCCCTATACATCATTTTACGCGCATCCCGGCGGCCCGTGATTTCATGATATAGGTCCATATACGCGCAAGCACTGAAATAGTTCTTTTTTCCATATTCCATCAGCGTTCCGGCGTGGTCCCCAGCTGCAGGTGCAGCATCCTCATACCAATCTTCAAAGGTGCGAGACTGGAGGGGAACGGCGCTGGGACCCTTTTTGAAATTCTCTCGGACGCAGGGCGGATCAAGAGATCCTGCTAACTTAGCAAGGTTTTGGTAGTATTCGGGCCCTGAGATGCATTCAACACTAACAATAATAAGCCTCGCCTTTAGAAACTTCTCAAGGACCTTCAAAGATGCGTCGTCCTTGAGATCGGCTAGTCCTTTGATTGTGAACACGTCCGTAGACTCCATAGGGAGAAATTTACGCGCTTCATCAGCCCACTGATCAACTAGATGCGAAGGTACCAACACAAGACTAGCAGTGAGATGTACACGGTCTGGGTTCTTGGTAACACGTAGCTTCAAGGACGTTGTACTGTCAAACTCCTCCTGGCAGTGCATGAGTGCTAACATAATAATGGTCTTGCCGTAGCCAACGTCGTCCGCAAGTATGCCTCCGTGGTGATAAGCTTTGCGTTCAGCACAACCAATAAGCCGGAGCTTAAGATCGGGCACAATTTCCTCTTCAATCTCTCGTTCCGTGAATTCCGGCCCATATATTTCACGCCAAAGCGTCCAACCAAGAGATTGCGACTGACACTTGCTCAGCTTCGTTCGGAACGATTTCATTTTTATAGACATTTCAGTTCGAATGTCTTCAGGAAGCGGGAACTCTGCCAGGCCTTTTAATGACTCCCGGAAGGGCACGAAGCTGTGCTTCTCGGAACCAGAATTCACTTGAATGTTTTCTGACATAACCGCATTGCGCTCGACCCGGGTATACGCAGATACTGTGGCCGTGGAGTTTTTAGTTGGTGGCAAATACGCTGTTGCTGTACGCGCAAGAGTCTTAGGATTGATCAAGTACTGTATCAGGGTGACAAATTGGTCTTCGAATTGGTCTTCGAATTCCAACTCATCTTGATATTCCGACTGCAACAAGGTTGGGTCAACCTTTACCCTTACTTCGAACGGCGGGACCTGCTCCTTCGCGTGTCCTTCGAATGCCTCCATTGCATCAGAATTATAGTGTTGAACCCATCTCGTACCAGCTTTACGTCTGGAACCAGCTTGAAAACTGACTTTGAGCCATTGGGCTCGCGGTAGCTGTCCGGAAGGGGGGCCCTTGGCATCAACTCCAGTCCTCCACTTTTCAAGTTCCTTGATCCAAGAGTCAATGTCCGCCATCTCGAAGTCTACTTCGAGAAGTCCAAGGCTCGCGAGCTTGACGTTAATATGGGAGACAAAATCATGAAATTGAGGAAGCTCAAGTTTTTCAACCGTAACCCAGCCTTCTGTGCTCTCGCTAAGAGACTCGTATTTGTTTATGATCCCATATTGATCGCAATGCCTATCTCTCGTGAATAGCGCTTCAGCTAGAACTTGCTGTTCCGGGTCTTCTCTGTGAATCATGTAGCGCTTTGAATTAGGAACCCTGAGACGCTCTAGGTGTCTGTAACTCGCCATGATGGGAGAAGTTCCGTGCTTTATGACCTGCGGACTCACCCAAAACCCATCCAGTTGGGCATCAACAGTTCCTCTACCTGGGTCCAGCTTCTGGAGATCCACACAGGCCTTGAACTTAAGTACGACCTCCCGATATTCATAAGATTCCAATAAACGACACTCTTCCGAAATGATATAACCATCTCGATCGGGTGTACCAGTTCGGGTAGATTCCTTGAATAAAAACAACTTCCTCTTGTCCTTGTCATGAACATGGAGACTGTTCTCAGGGGCGTCACAGTCGGGCTGATGGTAGTACTTCCCACGAGCTGCATAAAAATCATTCTGCAAGTCTGTCGGAAGTGCGCAAGGGTTTTTTACATAAATCGTCACGATATGTAGAGTACTGCCAGTCTTCATGATTTCCACTTGGAGCCGTTCTGATTTGAAACACCAGAACTTCCAAGAAGCGGGCTTAGGAAGGATACTACAGTCGCCTTCATAGATCCTGGCTTTTGCGATGGGTTGGCCCAGATCAATATGGTCCAAACTTAACTGCTTTCGAAACTCTTCCCCATATGCACTCTACGCATCGAGGTACAAGTACCAAGTAATTCCTTTCTCCGACAACACTGCTCGAAGCTCGAACCCCTTTTGGTTGGCGTAACAGACAGTCACTACCTCTGTGACGCGGGTGCCCTGGTAGTAAAAAGTTGTATGTGCGAGATGCTCCATAAGGGAAGGGAAAGCTGTGATGGCTGTCGTTGGAGCAAGATCAGTCGGCATCTGGTACACTACGGTGACCAGATCTGTAATTGTGCTCGGTAAGAATTGCATGATCTCTTGCTCTACTTCTCCTAGCAGTAAGAAGTTCGAGGGCCGCTTTGTTGGGACGAAGTCGTGTGGCGGATTTCCAGCGCACCACTTGCAGCGAATGGTGGAACATATCGTACATTCCAGGAAGTCATCAGTACTATACTTCGCCGATCCATTGCAAAAGCAATATCTTCGGCATCTTTCCAGAAGTTCTGTTAATGATGACATCTGAAAAGGTCGAACAATCCTGGTGCTAAAGCTTTCGGATTTTTCTAATTCAGAATCTATGACCTGCCGATTCATTTCCACCCGGGTCTCCTTCAAAGGCCTGGAAAAGATGTCGCCTAGACTGCAAGGGCTTTCTTGAATCGCTCTCAAGATAGCCACCATAGCGGTACCAACGACTGTTGTACTCATCGCGTTGCCAGCAAGATTCCGAAGATCTTCCTGGGACTCAGCTGCGAATTCGAGTCGGTTAAGTGGCAGTCCTTGTAAGCCTAGCATCTCAAAGCCAGAGAGGATTCTGCACTGGTCCGTTACCCAATGTATACCGTTCGGAGTGATGCACCCAGTGATTCCAAACGGAGTGTTGATATGGGTTCGATCTACGTTCTGGCTGAGATCATGGATACGGTTCTTGAACCTCGAGTCATAACCTTTCTTCAATGCTCGCAAGTGATTGATGTCGATGCAGTCTAGGACACGTTTCGGTTGTGTGAGAGTCACAAGCCGATCCATACGATCATAAAGCTGCCCTGGTTGGGCCAGACTCCAATTTGTGAGAGGACGAGATTCGCCGAGTTCTTCCTTTTCGCGAATTCGGAGATGACGAGCCTTGCTGCGTTCCCAGTCGGCGGTCTTCGAGGGTGGAGCTAATGCCTTCTCCGAATCATCTTGGCGGGCTCGTTCGGTCAACGGGTGAGCCGAAGGAAGTAACCACGAATTTACAGGGGTAGATGCTCGTCTCACAAGATCTTTTGTCATCAAAACAGACCATCGATTGACAATGTCGTCTGCTACCTTGCCCTTAAAAACATTCTTATCAATAGCAACGAGGTAGCCGCGGGTACGAGTTTGAGGGATATAGTAGTTCTTCGTATCCACCTTGACGAAGACGGCTTTATATCCGACAAAAGGGAACCATATGTCTGCGGTGCTCTTCCAGGGAGCTCCCATGACATTCTCTAGGATAACAACCTTAGGTCGATAATCCCTTACGTACTTCAGCATCGAAAAGAATGTCTGTCCCGAAGTACCCATCTCATTTATCTTGTCGAGAAGTAGGTTGAAGGAATCGTTGACCACTTCAAAAAGAGAGTCGTCGTAGCCATCTCCTTCACCATTTTGCTCGATGTACTCCATTAACTCTTTCCCAGTCGTAATGACATAATCGGAAAAGTCCTTACGCTTTTGTGAGTTGAGCGTGGAAAAGTCCAGACAAGAACAACCGGCAACAAGAAGATCGATGTCCCCGGGAATCGTTCTCAACGCACCCATTGCAGTAGGCCTATATATACTATTAGTTATGCGCAATGACCGCTTGTAAGGGACAAATAGACTTACGCTTTGAGGTCATTAGGTGCGATGAAATCTCGAACATCCTTAAAGATAATAGCATCTTCTGTGTTTCGCGCGATATATGCCTGTTTGACAGGGTCGATTTCAACGCTGAAGATATGAGAAAACCTCAAGAACTCCCTTCCGAGTTGCATTCGGTCAAATGATTCTTCAAGCATCTTTAACGCGAATATCGGAGCCTCCGTGCCAGAGCACAGGGTTGCGACGTGAAGATGAATTTGGCTATTATCCTTGAGCAAGTCATGCGTTCGGCGTGCAATGTCTTGAAAAGCAGCATAGACATTCGAAACCGGAGGTAAGCTTTGATTCAAACCATTGCTGGGATCAGAACAATCATCCTCCTCATCCTCAGGATATTCGTCATTCTCAGAATCCTCAAAATCATCAGGATCATTGTACTTTTTAATAGGTCGTGATTGCTGCTTTGCCCGACTACCATTGCCGGTAGGGTGGGACACCTTCTGCCGCTTTGCTCGGCGACCATTTTGGCCTTGGTCAGAGCCTACTCCCTCGGGGTCTTCATTGGCGCGCTTTTTCGCCCGGGAGCTTTTGACAACCACTATGCGTGGTATGCCAGAGCGTTTCGGCGGCATAGCCACGGGTGCAAGTCGATGTTGATGTAGACGCAATATTTCTAAGCGTAGGATAAGAGAGATATGCTAATGTTCAGTTCGAACGCGGTAGGAGGGAAAGTTCGCCCCGGGTAGAGGTTTTGGGAAAGGTAACGCGTGGAGAAGGGATAGGAAGGGAAAGGAAGGGTGATGATAATCCAGAAGTTGCAAAGCACAGTTCGCAATTTGAGAAGAGGCTTGATGGAATATGCTGTTGCAAATCTGAACCTGGATGTGCAAGTATGAGAAAGGATAGAATGGAAGAAGAGAGGTTTGGGAGAAGTGGTGATGATTGTGGGATGGATTTATTTTTTTTAGAATTAGATGACAACAGTGGCTGAAATTTAAGGGCAGAACTAGGGCAGGCAGGAGTGTTGCACACCTGACTAGCAACCTTAGGTCTCTAGGGCTACAGCTTTGTGTACATGACCTACTCCACAACCCTAAGGCATGGCTCCGCGGTCCTAGCTTTATATCTTGAAGACGGAGGGGTAACAGCTGGGAGTCGGAGGGACGCTGGGGTGGACGCCGGGGGGACGCCGAGGAGACGTCAGGGGAGACGTCAGGGGGACGGGGCTACAGTGGGCAAGCAACTAGGGAGTGGAGGGGATGGGCATCGCTATACAGCACCAGGGGTAGTACCAAGTGTATGAGTACGGTCACTTGTGGCCTCATAGGGGATATAGGGGATAGCACATGACAGTCCACTAAGAGATCGAGTCTAGCTGAGAAACGGGGGAGGAATTAGAGGATCGTCATAGGCTATGGTGTTGACGGTTGTGGTAGGTTATTGAACAGGGCAAGTCCAGTGCTAGACAGAGACTATGCCAGACTGTGATCGACAAGATCCTATTTGTGATCAGTAGGACTAGGCGTTCGTCAGACGTTTGTTAGTATCCAACAAGCTCCTGAAGACACAAGAGATAGTATTTTCATCGTATAAAGACACTCTTTAAGGCGAGAGCTATGGGCTTGTATTCGACTACGCAGTGTATTAAGTGGTAAACGAAAGACGGCATCTGTTAGAACATCATGAGAAGATACCTAAGCGTCTGGGAGGTTTTGAGACTTAGAGACTTATAATTGAACGCACAGCAAAGCCATATATTTCGTAAGGATTTTGAGAACACCAAGGTGGTAGGCAGATGGTAGTCGAAGATCTATCAAAAAGACACTGATGCGGGCCATTCACATATCTTCCAGCGGTTCGCTTTGGACTGTAGCTGTCTCAAGGCCAGAGTCCAAGAAACCATAAAGCTACCTCTAAGGAGGCTTAAGTTTGTAAATCCGTAGGCCATAAAATATGTGCCCCATTGAGAGTAACGGCTGAACAGTAAGTTACTGCTTTCGAGTCCTTTTCTTTAACAGGGCCATGCAAAAGGCCAATGGGAAATGTGCAGAATCCCTGTATGTTGAACATAGATGACCTCATGGCCGCCGCCAAAGTACGTTTCATTAACAGAGCTCATACAGGTTAGACGATTTTTTTCTTGGATGTAGTATTATTATCAGATCGCCAGCCGGGCTTCATCAGCGCAAGCGGAATGTCGTACGAGCTTTTCCAGGTAGCCTTAAGATAACAGGGTAAGCAGAATGCAGGAAGAGATGTAGTTGAAGGGAGACGGGGACAATGCTAGAGAGTAGATTGGCTAAACAAGATATACTCGCTGGATGTATCAAATAGCCGACGAGCCATAGATTTCTATCCGTTTGATATAAACTAGGTCCATGAAGCCGTTAAGGGAATAAGGTAATTTAGATATTTCATGAGAGTGGAGAGAGTATTGATATGCTCACGTACCCCCGTTATTTAATTTTGACAAGCGATTGTTAGTTAGCTGTGGACATAAGGAGGTGGTATGTAGGCAGTTCAATAGTAGCGACTAGCAGAGAAGAAGATATCATGAATGGGTGTAAGGAAAAAATGACCATAGATAAATATAGAAGAGGTTAAGCTTGTATACCAAAGGCTACTTTGCTATCTTAGAAAACCCCGAAGGTATATGAAAGGAGGATAGTTGGCTACCTAGTTAAAGAATTGAATGAAAGCAGCTTGCACTTATAAGTAAAGGTCATTCTGAATCATGTTCAAGTTGCCTGGAGACTTAAGGCAAGTAAGGTATATACGAACCAATTGGGTGGGTAATTGGTTGTTTTTATCGCACATTCATATCCATATTCATTTAGGAATATCAGAATTAATGAATGTTGAGAGGAAAATGAGGAAAAGAAGCTCAGGTGAAGTTAGGATATGCTTTGTAGCACGTGATTAGTTAGTAAGCATAATTCATTTTATGGATAAGAGGATACGGTAACTTTAGCTGAAGTCTTGGCTTATTAATATTCCCCTTTTTCCATGTAGGAGAGAGAGCAGCTCAAATAAAAGGAGCAATAGTAACATAGTGTTGTTGTTGTTTATAATTTAGGTTGGGATAGGTTCCTCATAAGAGTAATATAAGTTCTATAATTCTCAATTTATGAATCAGAACGGCGACTAGGTAGTACAGTGCCCCCTCAGCCATACGCCACTCTTATAATATCCGATTATCGGATGTTTGAGGCTATATAACTACTCGAGAGAATACTTTATTCTATCCCCGCAGAAGGAAACATACTTCTCATCAGCCAGCCTCTAATTTCGATCAGCATTCCAGATGGGGTCAGCTCTTCAGTCCACTGATATCGAGAACAAGCTGGAGGACTTGTCCGGAGTGATTCTGAAACCAGGAGAGAATCCTTACAATGCCTTGATAGAGACCTGCGATGGTGAACCAGTTGAGTGGACCCTCTTGTCATCCTTTCAGAGTCTTACTTAGGAGGATGCATGTCTACGTATCTGAGTATAAGTAGCTTTGTCCAACTTAGTAAGAGAAGTTATTGCCTGATGAATCAGAATACGCCTTCGCGTAGAGAGTATTAGTGGAAGCTAATAGAAAGTCTAGGCGAAAATCCAGAAGCTATATGCTGTCCACCGCGTCAAGCGTAACGCGCAACAGAGGGCTAAATTTCTCGCCTCTGACTACACGGGACTAATCATAGATCAGTACCTGCTGCGATTGGAAAATCCCCAGATAGAGCCTAGCTTTGGTGAGTACATGAACAAGCACGGCTAAACATGGTGTCTTCATCCCTCGGGTTGGATATGCTGCTTTTACTCAAGTCAGTGAATGCTAACAAGTGGACAGTATGTTCATCACTCTTCCTTTTCACGCCGACGTATTCAGCGGAGTGACTCCAAAATAAACCAGGACATTAGCTCTTCGTTCGGATTATTAACATATAGTAGAAAGACCCAAGATATTGTATGACCTTCTGGGGTCGACCTCCCATCCACGTACTAGAACTCGCAGAAGCAATTCAGAATAGGCTCAAAGCTGTTGCGCCAGGTAATTTAAATTCCTCTCCTAGTCGATTAGCTAGCAAGGTTAAGCAATGACAAAAGGAACAATATCTCTGGCATATCAAACTACCTAACTACCCCCCCTCTATCCTCCCTCTAAATCGCGAACATCATGCTAATAATCACCAGGAATCTGGCTCATGCCCCTCCACCGCATGCACATCACCACGCTAGAAGTAGCTTTCTCCCGCACAGCCGCCGAGATCGAAGCGCTCAAGGAGACGCTAAAACCCGCCATCCCGCACATAGCGAGCTACACGCACCGCCACCGGTCGCGGCTCGTCAAGCCCATGATATCGTACGACCTGTCCGCATTCGCGCTATCGTTCCTCCCAGCTGCCAGCGAGCCACCACTCTCGCCCGCCCCGGTGGCTCCCGACAGCGTCGAGGTGCTGCGGCAAGGCGACTCGTACACGTACCACCACCTACGGCGGGATATGTGGGATCAGGCCAAGGATGCCGGCGTAACGGTCAGCTCGCGGTATATTGTGCCGAGCGCGCATATAACTCTTGGTCGGTATCTTACGGATGCGGACCACGCGACGCCCGAGCAGAGGCTGAAGTGGGTTGATGCGATTGACGAGATCAATGCGTGGTTGGAAGCAGAGGTGTGGGATAATGCCGATTCAAGGTTGATCGGGGAATGGGTCGTTGGTCAGGAGAAGGGCTTGGACGTGCGGGTCGGTACGCTATGGTATGGTGGCGGTCGGACAGTTCAGGTGGGTGAGGGTTTCTAGGTACTTAATTAGACATTAGACCAAGTTACCTGAATCAATATGGCAGGTCAGTCTCCAGTTGTCCAGCCGTGGGCTTCCCTAAATATCAAATTCATCCATAAAAGATTCGGGACCAGAAATTATACTGCTTAAGTCCGGGGGAGGGACGGTAAAAAATGACATTCATATTTCTATGTTGCAGAGAATAATTAGAGTCAAGGTTGGACGAGAACACTCGGGTCACAGAATGTGATGGATTAACGATTCTATGCTCAGATACCGGGTATTCCCACGCGTTATGGCATCAAATATCGTAATCGTAGAGAAGGCATCAAGCCAGCATCCCTACTGTCAAGAGCAACAAGCCCATTGACCTCTCGCTGCCTCTCCACTCCTAGCATTTTGTCACATACGGCATAACGAAGTTCAGAAGAGCAGATTCGGTTCTATTCTGACCTATGTGCTGCTCCCATTCCGAGTATCAAAGACTCCCGTCGCCAGTGAATGCCCGGCCGTAATGAACCACCCTATTGCCATGAATGAAGAACGTGCACAATGACTCGAGTAGGAAACGCGTTTAGAACACCAGAGCGGCGCCCTTTGTCTTCTTGTCACCACTAGAAGCTTATTAGTATAGTTCTGCTGATGGATATACTCAATCGAAACGTACCCAAGTTCGAAGTGCTTGCATCGCTTCAGTGCCAGTTGTAGCTTGGTCTTGCAGTTAACGCACTCCAATCTTAACACGACCTTCTTCGTTGTCTTGGCCTTCTTGTGGAACACGGGCTTGGTCTGACCACCGTAACCGGACTGCTTTCGGTCGTAACGTCTCTTTCCTTGCGCGAACAGAGAGGCCTAAGTGCACGTTAGAAACCAGTCGAGAGGGCTATCATCCATGACGCCGCGGCCCAGAAGAGACGGCGTCATGATATCGAAGATAGACATACCTTGCCAGCCTTGTACTGAGTGACCTTGTGTTGGGTGTGCTTGCGGCACTCCTTGCCCTTGCAGTAGGTCTTACGGGTCTTGGGAATGTTGACCTAGATGAAGTTTCCCGTCAGTCCACTGTCGCACACAAAATGTAACTATTCTCGATCCGAAATATATCATCGGCCGCAAGGTATTCAAGTATCGTCGCCCTCCATGGTCGTTCCCGCTAAAATGCCGGCTGATAGAAATCGAGGCGCTGATAATCGGTCTACTCGTCTCGTGCCGTGTCCTCTCTACCAAATTGGTGTTGAGAATTTCCTTCCTCACAAACTTCGTTTAACGGTCCGGACCAGCGGGAGGGCGACTTATCGAAGCAATACCTGCGTATCAAGAATTAAATGAAATATTCAATTCACGTACCATTTTGACGGCGGTTATAGGGGTTACGCTGTCGAAAGTTGTCGGTGGTTGAATGTTGCGGAATGTTTCGTAGAGCTCCAGTTAGTCAAATCAATTTTTGCGCTGAATTGAGATGTGTGCGTGATTGGGGTAAACCACGGCTAATTTACATGAGGGGGGTTTAGCAACATTTGTTAGGTAAGCTAGGTAGGTACCTAGGTACCTAAACCCACGCATTTCCCTCGCCTAAGACTCCAGCCACGTCCTCTCGGCTAAGACCTATTGTGGCTAGTTCGATAACTAGCCACAATGGATCACTGTCCAAATTCAAAACGTCCGGTACCTACGTACCACCAATATGAAGATTCCAAAAACAACATTCAGGTCCGATTAATTAAATAAGCTTAAACAAGCCAGGTAGCCTTCAAAATTCAAAGGACGAAAAGTTCTTACTGTTGCTCAAGTCAGCAATGATAGCCTACCTTGTGTCTAACATTTACGTAGATGTCTCTATTGGCAATATACCCAAGTGGTTCCTCTCCGAGAAAGATCACCACTTGCCACTCGATACTACTTCTACTTCAAATCTACTGGACCGGGTAGAGTAACTCTGGTGCCTTTCCCGAAACCTATGGTTGTCTCAGACGCATCTCGAAAAAATGCTGACTCGTATTAACACCGGGTTTTGCATACTCCACAAGCTTTCTGCAGTCAGCCCAAGTATGAGTTTGCTTAAAAGGTACTAATTTGTCATAAGTCCTCATCCAAGGCATAGCACATGTCAAACAGTCATCGAGCCGTAATGACTCCATTCGGAGCGACTATCGCAGCGGCAGTCGGAGCTCACGAACCTCGTCTATGCACTTTTATGCCGATCCCGCGTCGGATAGGTTGATGCAACGCCGGGAATAAGAGCCGATTTGGAGTTGCAATAATAGATCATCGTCGATATCGTGCAGGGATATTCCCAAGATTTCTTATCGCACAATTTCTAGCAAACTAGCTGACTAGCTGGCTAGCGTCGCCATTGGTTTCCATCGGAAGTCCACGGCATCATTACGGGGCTGCCTATCAGCAAAGTTCGGATCGGGCCCTCACCGCTATACATAGAAGCCGCTGACTTCTCGAAGGCGAAGACAGAAAAAATCTCGCCAGCACATAGCACATGCCTACTTCCTTATTTCGAAGGTCGAAGACGGCTGTTGGCATATCTAGTGTACGGAGCCCTTGGCAAAAGCTTCGAATTTTTGAATTGACAAGCCTGCAGACAACTTCCGATAATGCACCAATAGGGGAACGCGTTCGGCATTGTAGCCGGTTTAGTATCCACCTCCAACCGTCATTTACCCTCGTATTGCTATGCCCTAACAAGACAAGTTCGGTCCAAATTCCCACCGATACTCGGCATGGCAGGTGTATGGCTCCCGGGCAGAGGGCCAATGTCAACAAAGGGAAAAGATATCAGGAACCCGACAGGTTATGCCACTATTCTCCTCCAAGCCATTGGCCCGTTTTCGTGTAAATAGGAGGTGCTCCCCCCTTTGCCAGCATCGAATGAAGCTATTCATCTACTCTCCGTCTCCGCTATTCTTCATAGCTCGACGAGTCTTGCTTAATTTTCAGACAAGATAATTTGTAATAAAGGCAAATGTACCTTCACTGAGTCAATATATTATTACTACCTACCTACCTACCTAGTCAGTTGTGAAGCCCACGACTCCTTCTAATATTAGTCTTTTTTGCCTATGATGCCACGCATAGGATCGAGCGTATATTTATAATTTTTAAAAACGAAATCTCTCCTAATGTTCGAATCTAATGACTCCAGTTCGAAAACCATTGGCCGTAGTGGCCAGGTCCGGGACATTCCCTCCCGCCCTCCGTCCAGTAGCTCCTCGACCCGCTCCGATGGCACAATAGAGTCCATCCGGCCGGCAGCCCGCCCTAATACCGATAACGGGGAGCTCGACCGGTGCTCGACCCACCATTCTCTCGGCCCGGACATGCCTGTCGAACCGATAAACTCGGTGGTTGAGGTCCCTGATGAGGTATACGACCGGCTACCACCGCACCGAAAACTAATCATCGTGTTCCTGTTATCGTTCTGCTCGTTCCTGGCGCCTATATCTAGTACGTCGGTGTTGGCAGCCACGCCCGAAGTAGCGGCCGAGTATGGCACAACAGGGTCCATTATCAACATGATCAATGCCCTGTACATGTTGTTTATGGGCTTGTCGCCTATTTTCTGGGGGCCGCTAAGCCAGGTCTATGGCAGGAAAATAGTAAGGACCTCTCATTAACACTATAACCGAAAACCATGGTAGAATAGATGGATATAATAGTAATCTATAATAACTAACACTGTTTCTATTATAGATCACTATCACAACGGCTATAGGATTTCTTGGGTGTAGCATTGGTACGGCATTGGCGCCGAACCTAGGCGCCTTCTTCGTGTTCCGTCTCCTGACGGCATTTGAAGGCACCTCCTTCATCTTAGTCGGCGCATCTGTCATTGGGTTAGCACCACCCCTTTATCCCTAAATCATGCAATGCTCCATAGACCAGATTGCTTACTCAATGTATAGTGATATGTACCGCCCGACAGAACGCGCAACGGCTCTAGGTTGGTTTCTTACTGGAACACTGGTAGGGCCGGCCCTGGGACCCTTCATAGGTGGCATCATCGTCACGTTCACTTCGTGGCGTGTGATATTCTGGCTCCAGACAGGACTGGCGGGCATCGCAGCCGTCGGAGCATACTTCCTACTTCCCGAGACCATATATCACAAAAAGATCGACGACCTAGTAGGCTACAGCGGTTCGGCGAAGATCAAAGTCTTGCTCACTATGATCAACCCGTGGCGTGTTATTCGGTTATGGGAGTATCCGAATCTATTTCTCACCGGTATAGCTAGTGCCTCTCTGGTTTGGAATATGTATTCTCTACTTACGCCCATCCGGTACGTATTGAACCCAAGGTACAACCTTACGACGCCGATGCAGGGCGGCCTGTTCTATCTCGCGCCCGGCTGCGGCTATCTCCTCGGCACGTTCATCGGAGGGCGGTATGCGGATTACGTCGTGAAGAAGTACATTAAGAAACGAGGCATGCGCATTCCAGAAGACCGCATGTATTCGGCTTTACCATTTATGGGTATCGTTATCCCCGGTTGCGTGCTGATCTACGGCTGGAGCGTGGAGAAAGACGTCGGCGGAATCCCCTTGACGGTGGTAGTGTTATTCTTGCAAGGCGTGGCACAACTTTTTTGTTTTCCCAGTTTAAACACATACTGCTTAGACGTGATGCCGGGACGCGGAGCGGAGGTGACAGCAGGTAACTATGCGATTCGCTATCTATTTGGCTGTGCCGGTATGGCAGTAGTTCTCCCCGCTATCGAAGGCATTGGAGTTGGCTGGTTCTCGACCATCAGCGCGTTGTTCGTCTTCATGGGCACCGTCTGCGCGTACGTGTCTATCAAATGGGGCAACGAGTGGAGGCTAAGTGTAGACGCCAGGAGGAGGAGAAGGGCTGCAGAGAAGATACCAGATGAGAATAATGGCAGTATGCAGAAAAAGGCCGGGAAGGCCATGGGTGGTCCGGCTACTGGTGCCCGTCAAAAACCGCTGACGACGCTCGGGGCGGAGCAGAACAAAGAAGAGGTATAACGCAAAGGCGTGCTCTTCTCAGCATGAGTATACGTAGGCATAGCAACGAAGTTACGAAAATAGAGTTTACCAAGTGAGTTTTTTTTTCTTAACTGGCTTCCAATCTAGGTAGTTAAAAGTGATTAGGAATACGCATAAGAATCAGATGGCGCGTATTATTTCTCATTCGGGCCAGTGGAGGATGATCTCCTTACGTTATAAGCAACCTACGATTCCCAATCATTTCCGCCGCTCCAATAGTATGTAGGTAGGTAGGTGGATATCCAATATTCTTCCCATTTAGGTTATTATGGCGAGATGCTTATGTCTCGCGGGTTTGCCGGATCCCTACATAATCTGGGGACACCATCCAACAACCACGGCGGGATTGCTATAGGTTTCTAATAGCCCTCGGAAACCTATTGGGTTATCTTGTGACCTCCTTTCTAACTGTTATACACAGATATATCAAATATTATTGCAAAGTTCTACAGACCAATAAGCCATAATAGGGTAGCAGTAGCAATTCGTTGCAATCGCACAACCGGCTGCACTGTTGACGTATGTAGTGCTACTCATGTTCGACTGGTAGAGGTAAGCGAAAAAGAAAATAAATAAATAATTTGTAAACCTCATACTCAAGCTTTATGTCTGCTTTTGGGAACAAGACGCGAATAGAGTCATAAACGGTTCGCTCTAGTAGTTCTGTGTAAATAGCGCTTCTGACTTGGGTGCTCTTTGTGATTCGGCTTTACACGAGAGATGATTGGATTGTAACATAGGTAAATGAAATAAAAAAAGAATGTTGACAGCGCATCTTTGCTCAACACCATCCCGACGTGTGCATGAAACATCCGGGGATGCGGCACACCCATTGTTTCACCTTGGGCCGGTCCGGATTCTACGGTCCACTAACATAATCAGACGGGACGGAAGCGCTGCATAACTTTTCTCAAGATCGGCGCACAGCTGCTTCATAGCCGTTAGTCAGTTAGTCTGATCTGTGAGACGGGTGTTGCCATTTCCCTGTGGGAATCACATCAGATAGATTGACAACTATGATGAATTAGGATGTTCAGACATGGCCGCTTGACGTTCGGTCTGACCACGGCCGCCGATCATCTTTGACCCGCCCATCCGCGCGTTGGGGCCGACGATAAGAATAACTTGTGGCTGGTTAAATTTTTTTTTCTGTAGAATACGATAGGTAGCAAGCTTATAGTAAGCGCCAAGACGCCTTGTTTACGCAGCCTGGCAGCAACAGTGATTTACCTACCCTTAGAGTTCTATAGGTTTATTGCTTGGTTTGATTTACCTATGGAGTATGCGACGAAAGCATATTATATGACAACTTGCGGTAAAGTAGCCCACCTGCCCACGTACATAGGTACCTAGGTATGTTCTTCGATATGCATATGTACCATTTATCCCTCGCTCGGCGCAATTGATTGTGTATGGTTGTAGGAAACAATCCTACTTTTCTCTCGGGATTGCTGTGGAACTAGAAAAATAATGTATGGCACCATCAATTATGGCTGCTGGTTTGGACGACGTTGAAGTGTAAGACAGAGGAACGGGTGCGGCGTCATTAGCCTAGCACACGGTCAGACGGTAAAGCCACTTCTAGAAGCGATTCTTTTAGACTGGCCAAAAAAGCTGAAAAGGGGCCCTTACTGCCCTAAACCGGTACGTTCGACTTATCTCTATGCAGACCTCACACCTTAAAAGGTGATGTCGTCGTACAGGCCTAATCCAAGTTAGGCTGTGGTGGGTTGTGGTGTAGTTTAGCGGCCAAACCGTTATGCGCGTTTCAAGTCGGATCTCACGTTGTGCGTCCTTGGCGATTGATTTCCCCTGGCAGATTGTTTTATTGCTTGGCAATTGCGGGATCATCTCCAATTAAGAAGATCGTCGGTACTCGACTGGTTATCGTGTAATTTTACATACCGGTACCAAATCCCACGATAATGTCGATCGTTACATGCTTAAACCCTGCTCCTGTAGTTGGGGGTTATTCCACTAATCCACCCTCGTAGCTCTCGTAGTCCTCGCACACTGGTTGCTCCGGAGAGCCTTTTTTTATTGTAGAACCTCTGATTTTCTGTGTAGTAACGTAGTTATCTAAAGATGTTTGACAATTCTACAATTGAAAAAAAAAAAACAATCCGGTTTGTTGCTTCAGGCGGGGAAGAGTGCGGTGTAACAGTTTGATCAAAATTGAGGCTCACACAGTAGTTACACAGCTGAAGATATGATGCAATCAAGGGTAGTGCATGTACCTCCATGTCTCACCGACTTGTGACACAAAAAGATTCTAGCCACCAACAGCTAGGGGACAGGGGGAGAGAGAGAGAGAGATTACTTTAATGGCAATGACGTAGATCTTAGCTTTTTTGAAACGGAAAACTAAGGGCTCTCTTTCTGGTGGATGTTTCCAGGGAATTCGGTACATAGAAGAACAGAAAGGACTGGCTGGGGCAGTGCAACTTTCTTCTTTCAATACGCGTTTCCGATGACCTACCCTAAGTGTTCAATGATGAAATTGGCGAAGGTTATTTGATGAGAACCCACCGTCTGTAACACTAGCCGCGATGATAAAACATGGGGGGACATGGGAGACATGAGTTTGCCCCACTAACCCGCATAAGAGCCCTTGACAGCCTTGATAGCGGTAACCCCCTATTCCCCTATACCCCTGTACAATTCCTATTCTCGGTAATGGAGCCTCATCAATCATCTAATTCTATAATAACACCCAGGTACATAAATCTACATTCAATTTTTAGTTGGAACGAAATATCAAACATATTCCAAGTGAGTTGCTGCTGCTTACCCTTAGGGTAGACTACCTAATGTATGTAGGAGGAAGGCGAGTATGTACATTACCTAATGCCTATTACCTTACCACACTTTTATCAGGGTTACGAGGACAGTAATCATTAAAGTTTCTATCTTCTCCGTTTGTGGTATCCCGAGCCCTGCCCATTCTTGAAGGTGATTATATTTGGTAAGACTTATATGCGTACCAACGGTACAATGCTACACGTTTGTGGACTCGTCATACCACCACTCTGCACATCATTTCTCAAAGAAAAAGCCTTAGATGTGCAGTGTGTGCAGTGTGTGCAGTATGTGGAATCCTTGGTGAAGCCGAAAAAGTTTCTACCTATGTAGATGCAGTGCATTAGGAGTCCCCGGAATCTTGCTGGGACCCTAGACAATAATCGTAGTCCAAACACGACCGGAATCATATGTGTGATGATATGTATCACACATGTACTCTGTTATACTGTATTTGTATTCTATTCAGCTGTGCCCACATTCGATCCACGTTTTCTAAAATTCAATCAGAGCAAAAGAGCAAAAGATAATCCTAAGAAGATCGACATCCCAAGTCTTGCTTTCCCCTTTTTCTTTACAAGGTGCGAAAGTGCAAAGTGCGGCCGTACAGTAGAAAGTACTTGTTCTTACAACCCGTAGTTTCCCTGTTCTCTCCTTGCTTCTCCAGTTGGCAGCTGCCAAACAAGTCAAAGCAAACCTCCTGCTCAACGACTACCGCCGTTTATTTTCTTTCCAATTTTATTTTTTATTTTTTGACTTCTTTCTTGCTTTGTTGCCTACCGCAAACTTTTCCCTCCCATCCATCCATCCAATCACTATCTAAGCGGCGTGTGTCATCACAACTTCGACAACCGCAACACCGCTCTCTTGCGCCGACTTCATCATTCCTACAACCTACTGATCGCGATACACTCACTGTTTGGGAAGATCACTCTTTTTCTCCCATCCTATTATAGCACACTGTTCTTTTCCATTCATTCACTCACTTGATAATTCACACCGAATCCTTTTTTTTCCTGATTCAGTCGCGACCTGTCACCTCCAGCTGTGTGCAGCCTTATTACTCCTACAGCCCCTGCGTTTGCACCTAGCTGGGTTCTAACACTCCTACTCTGGAGTACGACATCTCGGTCGCAAAGGAAAAACTTTAAAACAGCTTTATTAGGTCTCTAGCACCCTCAGTTCACGATAGCATCGGTAATTCACAACCTCGCCGTTTAACACTATAGTTAGGCGGACGGCGCGCAATAACAAGAGTTCCAGAGACTTCCATTAATGTGCTAAGTCGGAAGCTTAATATTTTCGATGCTGAGCATTGATATTTTCTGAGATCTCTTCTCAAACTCGCCTACGGAATATGGGGAGGGTATCGGACTATGTGTCCCGGAAATCGGGTTCGTTCCCCAGCTTCATGGCTCGAAAAAGCGAGGCCTACCTACCAATATCGACGAAGCCACAGTCTAAATTCAGGGTCAAAGCTTTACTCGGTAATTGTCTCTACCGAAGAGTAGTTATATGGACTTTCCTCGTCATTTCCCTGATATCATACACCCTCTTTAACCCTGGACTAGCTGGAAGGCCACGGGATGTACTTGATCTAGTACATGGGAGTAGAAATGGGGTTAATGAAGCTCCTCAAGTCACCGACAACATAGTCCTGCAAACTCAGGACAGTCAAGATGATGTCTATATACAGGACCCAGTAGAAGAGGAAAAGGAGCCAATCGAGGAGATTCAGGAGCAAGAAGAGAAGGAACAAGAAAAGCCAGAGGATGAAGAGGAAAAGGAAAAGGAAGAGGAAACCGAAGAGAACGCCAATAGTCCGCACTGGCTCAGATACAAACAGTAAGTTATGGGTGGACTGTCCGAAGAGAATTGAAGAACTAGATTGCTAATGTATCTATAGTCTCGACGGCTATTACAATGGTCTGAGGTCGCTTGTGTCATTCTCGGACTACAAGCCAGAGTATCCTGAAGTATCGTCTACAGGCAGAGGATCTGAACCTTCGCCCACTGTTCACCATTCTAAGCAACCCAAGCCTAGTGTATATCGCCCTCATCCAGATTATGATTCCGACGAGTATCAGAAGACATATGTCCCTGTGAAGCGATGTTACATCGACGAGGATGATCAGGTTCCCGCTCCAGACTTATACGCATACAGCGGTGTCCCTCAAGGTCAACCTAAAGCAGCTCTCGGATCTTATGATCTCCTAGGTTTGCGAGAAGATGTCTGCTTCGATCGCTTTGGTCGATACGGGCCGTATGGCCTTGGATATGACTTGGAGGCTGGTGGGACGGGTGAAGCCCTCGACACCGAGCACGAAGGTAGCGAGGCAGTCTGGGAGAAGACTGGACAGATCAACTATGAAGGTGTCGATTGGGGCTCAGCACAAGAGCGTTGCTACGCGGCGAATAAGGACAGATTTTTCACTGGTAACGAAACTAGAGATTTCGAACTGGCTCAAGCTGGGCGTAAGAGACTCGATCGCATTGCTATAGTTGTGCGAACTTACGTCGGATTCCAGTGGACAAGTCATGCTTTACTCAATTTCCGTGCCATGATCAATGAGCTTAGTCTACGATCTGGTGGCGAGTACGATGTTCACTTTCTTTTACATGTTCGCGACAACAATGCACCTATATGGGCGGATCCGAACACGGTTCAGAACATCCTTGATGTCAATGTTCCTCCCGAATTCCACGGACTCTGTACTCTTTGGTCTGAAGCTCAGATGAAACTGTACTATCCGGGTAACTTTGGCGATACCTTCGAAAACCCATCCAACGGTGATATTCATGGGGTTTACCGATCTGCACACATGCCCCTTCAGCACTTTGCCATGATGCATCCCGAGTATGCGCACTTCTGGAACTGGGAGATGGATATGCGCTGGACCGGGTCCTATTACGAGTTATTCGATAGGCTTGGCAAGTGGGGTGCGGGCCAGAGCCGAGAAGGTATGTGGGAGCGGGCAAGCAAGTATTATATTCCTGGATTGCACGGCAGCTGGGAGAACTTCACGGAGCTCGTCCGCCATGAAACTAAGCAATCTGGAAAGCGCCCGATTTTGGGTCCGGTGGTTTTCACTGGCAAATCTAGCCTCGAACAAGGAGAGGTATTCCTACCATCGAGCTGTTCGAGTGGATCGGATATGTCACAATGCGGAGTCGGCGAGGACGCGGACCTCATCACGCTTAACCCACTTTTTGATACTGACAACTCTGGTTGGGTGTTCGCCGGGGATGTGACTGGCTACGACACGCAGTACGAAAAGCCTCCGCGAAGGTGCGCCATTGTAACTGCTTCTCGATTGTCGCGTCGTTTGTTGAGAGTGATGCATGAGGAAACATGGCGTCTACACCATAGTATGTTTAGCGAGATGTTCCCGCCTTCGATGGCATTGCACCATGGTCTCAAAGCCGTATATGCTCCTCACCCGGTTTACTTGGACCGAAACTGGCCCCAGGAGGAAATTGAAAAGGCTTTCAACGGTGGCCAAGACCACACTTCAGGCGGCCACGGCTCGCCATTCGATCTAACAAATGAGCATAACCATAAGGGGACGAGCTGGTATTACAATAGTGAATTCGCCGGTTTATTATGGCGTCGCTGGCTTGGTTATGCTCAGATGGATGGCAGAGGCAATAATGGTGGTCGTGCCGGCGAAGGTACTAAGAGAGGCGGACGGAAGGAGGAAGAGAACCCAAAGAACTCTGGTCGACTATGCCTACGGAGCATGCTCGTACATCCCATCAAGTGGGAAAACCCTGCCGAGCAGGAGTAAAACTAATAATAATGTGAGAGAGGCCCGGTTTCTTTTGTGCGAGTAGAGGAACTTGTCGATGCACGACAACAGTCAACCGAACGGAAATATAGAATGAGGCAACCGGAATCAGGACATCAGAGGAGCAAAGACCTACGAAGAACCATTCATCATGCCTGGTACAGGGTACCACGAGCAACGGCATTTTACGGGCGTTCGCATATGAGGAGTCCGGTTTTTCAATTTCACTACTTCCATCGTCATTTAGTCGATGTCACCAGGCTTCTTGCCCGAGAACAAAACTCGACCCCGTTTGAGCAAGACACCCGCCATATTGTTTTTTTGGGTTCGGCGCATAGCCCATTTTGTACATTCATACGACACTAGTGCCAAGCATGGCCCATTTGCGCGAACCTATCATAGTCGAGGCCAGAAGCTAGGAGGAACCTACAGGGCGCGGAGTTAAGTGTCCAGCATGGGGGAGATGTGCAGTTGCTCGATGTATGTATATAATGTAATATCAGAAAAGAGCTTTTGCTATGTAACTAGCTTCTCGTGATTGCATGTATTAGATTGCCTGAGTGATAGTGCCAATGACGCAGTTATTCAAATGAAATTAAAATATGTGAGATTATCAAGTATGAGGCTAGCCTATGATATGTTGCTACATTTGTGATTTGCTCAAGAGTGATTATAAAGAAATTTTGAAAAGAATTAGACATTACTTCTTATCACAGCACCGGCACCGAGGACTAGCGTAGGAGCTTATATTACGGGCGATTCAACACAATATCTTACAAAGACTTGGGGAACTTATAATTTGAACAATGGAAAAAAGCAGCCGCAATATATTCATATCGTAACAACATATCGACCCATCCCTAGGTACCTTCTGTCCCTCGTTCCGACGCCTCATCCGCTCATGACATGACTGACCATCCGACGTTTCTCCACAGTGAAGCCTATGTACAGCCCCTCGAATTCCGGCCCCGCTGTCTCATCGGTAGTTCGCCTAGGTAAGGCATAGCGAGGCAAAGAGAAAGAAGAGACCGGCCTTTGACATACCACGTACGGGAGAGAATATCATTATGTCAACCCAACCATCCATCCGGATCCCTTCCATCCCTTCGAGAATAACCAGAACAGAGTATATAAACAAGAAGCGTGGAAAATAGCTACCCAACCCAACCCAACCCCACGGTGCGAGACCCTTGCGAGAAAAAATGGCTATTCGATAATTTTCCAATGGGGCGCACGCGGAATAGGGAGGGAAAGACGACTAGCCAACGTCGAATACTTGATATAAACAAGAAAGCAGGCCCGCCTATTGCGAGATCATGAAATACAGGAATCTACTTCAAGCGCGTAACCAAATCAAATGTAAAACAAAGACGCCTAACCGGGACGTCCGGGATGGTTGATTGTCCAGAATTACTAGATAGGTTAGTTCCGACCTGGCCCGACCCGGGAGCCAGTCGGAAGCACTCCGACCTCGGGGAAGAGCGGGATCTTGAGATAGGGTGGATAGGGCAGGAGCAGGTATATAGGGGGTGGTGGTGGTTGAGGTATGTGATGGGACCGGAAACCGGCTGGTATCGGGGCGTAGTATAAGGGAACCGAACGCCACAGAACACCCGTCAACGCCGTTGAACGCCACCGGCCGCCAGCCCTCGGGGCTCCTAATGAGAAAATTAAAGTGATCAACCGGATGAAAGCGACGTTTTAGCAGTGTGAGACTGGGAGTGATATATAGAAAGTGAGGTTATGATTGGAAATCTTCTGCTGTTACAGCCGCCAGCAGTTGGATTTGAATGTGCTCTCCCCTCCCTTTACTTCTTAAGCACAGCGTCGTAGATGCTCAAGACGCCGGTGATGGCAGTGCCGGTCAGGATACCCTTGTAGCCACCGTATATGGCCGTGCTGATGCGAGCAATAGACGTCTCGTCTATCCAGCCACCAAACGTAATGCCTTGGCCGTAGACCACATAAGAGATCAGAGCCTTGGCGATGCTGAAGGTCAATGGGTCTACAACCGATTCCAACGCGTGCGAGCGGCGGCCCGGGCGACCGTGGTTCGCGTTGATAGTCAAATTGAAAAAGTAACCAGCAATACTAGGCAGGATAGCGCTCGTAAAAGCCCAGAGAAGTGCAGGAGACCAGAAGGACGAGGTTAAGAGTAGGAACATGTCTGGAACGAAGACGGGGAAATCCCTCGTGCCGAGAAAGGTGATAGCGGGGACGGTGAAGGCATATCGGTCGGGCAGGATTTCGGGACGCAAGAAGTAGAGCTCAAACGCGGAGATAGCGAAGAGCACCGAGGTCACGGTTGACAAGCTCTCACGCGTTGCTTGCGTGGCTTCTGTGATTCCCGACTCTTTGATTAGGGACACGACGTGCGTCTTGACAGCGACGGTAGAGCGGTCGACAGCTTCGGCAACATCCGCGGGAGTGGCAGGAAGCGAGATGCGGCCTGCAAGAGAGAGGGCACGGCCAGGAGTACGCGCGAGAGCGTTGGCGGTGCTCGTAGGCTCCTCATCATCAGACCTAGACCTATAAGTTAATGTTAGTAGATGGGTCGAGATACCCAAGATGGGCAGCACACAGCTATTACGAACCGCGGCGTGACTTACTCTGGATCGAGAATCTCCTCGGCAGCCTTGGTCACTCGTCGTCTAGCAACCTTTAGCCTCTCTACGGCACCCTCGGGAGCATCCCTCTTGACTGGAGACCCAACAGTTCGGGCGCGGCTAGAGTAGTAGTTGGCGAGTTTGGGGTCGGACGAGAAGGTAGACGAGTTCTCAGACAAATATTCATCAAGGGCAAGTTCGAGTTCAGTTTTCTTTAACGATTCGTAACTATTTTTCGCAAACAAAGGGAAAACGTGTTAGCCATGCTATGCTATTCTTGTCTCGGATCGGCGCGTGGGGCCGAAGAATGCCATCATCTCATCATTCCGCATTCCCGCATTCCCGCATTCCAGACGGGACGGAGATGGTGATGTAATAATCTACCTATATAAGTGCTGTCTTGGGGCGTACTAACGCCGAGTCGCGAACAAACTTCACGATAACACAAATGCAACAAGCTTCGAATTGGGGACAAATTTGTGGGATTGGTATTCTAATAATAAAATAGTACATACTTCCTGAGACCTGTGTACTGGGCAAGCTCGGCCAAATCAGTCTTTCGCTGCCTCTGCAGCCAACTGTTTGCGCCGGACATTGTTGGATGCAGGCCTGTAGCTTTGCTTGAATTGGTATAAGCGGTGTCGCGCAGGGTAGGCGATTAAGATGCAATAATTATTAAGAAAATAGCAGCTAGTGGTCCGTGACGTAGCTAGGGGGGTGTTTGTTAAGTTGCTAAGACGAGGTTATGTATTGATGGTGGTGATGATAATGAGATATGAGAGATATCAGATTGCGCCGTGTTGCGAGGGGCGCGTGTGTACGTAGCCGTAAGTGTGATTGATGGGAGGCTAAGAAGGAAAAAAGACAGGGAGGATTTCCCGCGGCGGTGCGCTTGAGTTGTTTATGTTTTCTTATTTCTGTCTTGTCTGTTGACGTGCAGGTGCAGCAGGTACAGCAGGTGCGGGAGCGCCCAAGGTCTACCTGCTAATCAAGCTGCCGCTTTCCTGCCTGACCTTGCTTTGGGGGCTACTAGGATCTGCTCTGCTGCTGTGGTTCGCTCTTAACCCCCCATAGTGCGGTACTTCTCACTAACCTAGTATTTTTAGGCTAGATTTAGTACCTAAACCTTAGCTAATACGCCAATAATAGGAAAGCGGGATATGGATGCACGGTGCACCGATTGGGAAATCTAAGCTTGTGATTTGCTATGTCGAGGTGTCATCGTCCAGGATCGTCCCATTTTACTTGTTTACTCCCTGTGGACTGTGGAGACCAAGCTCTCGTCAATGACAAACGCGCTGCCACGTCTTAAAGAAATTCGAATTTTTCAAAAATTGGGGCGTTAGACGTGTCAATACGTAGGTATTGTTGAAACTCGGCGACGTCTAGTTTGTGTATAGAAGGATCCTTGGATGCTTGAAGATGGGTCTTTTTATGTTTCGTCGTGTAACTATCCTAATCTGTATGCAAAAGGGTCTCTCTGCTAGTGCCCCTGATGTATATATGACTTATGCCTTTTAGAGATGCTCACATAGTTATACAATAGGTAACCGATGTTGAACAATGGAGCTCTTCCCTCTTAACCGCACGATTCATGAATCGATATAGTTAACAAACCTCTCGTTGCCTCTCTTAACCAATCTCACAGGGATATACTTATCCCCATGTAGCTTTAACGTAATATAGCTTCTAGCTTCTTTCACAGTTTCCCTCGATGTCTCTTGCGCCAGTTTGTATAAGCTCGCCTTCTCGTCTTGGCTCATATTCGCAACCTTTTCGTCGCTCGCCCACTCGTCTACTGCGAGCTCGATGCTATACTTCTGGAAGATAACGGCCAATGCCGAGACTAGCTCCACGATTGCTACGCGGCGGCCTAGGCACGCTCGTGCGCCGTCTGAGAAGGGGATAAACGAGCCCCGTGGCGGGCGGTACAGCTGTGCGCTAGTATCGGATCCGGTGTAGCCGCCGAAATCCTCCGTATCCCCGCTCTCCATTGCAGTGCTACTGCCCTTTGTTGAATCCGTTTGGAACCATCGCTCAGGAACAAAGTCATCCATGTCCGTCTCAGCACCAGTGATCTTGCTTGGCTTGGTCGGCCAGTATATCGGATTCCGTTGTGCGGCTGCGACCACTACGCCAATAGATGAGTCGCGAGGGAGTACGTGTCCCACTCCTTGTATAGTGACGGATTGGTCTTGCGCCGGGGTTACCATCTTCGGTATATCCACCACAGGCGGTAGTAGACGAAGTGTTTCGTTAATGACAGCACCAACCATTGAGCCGAGTAGAGGGTTTAGACACGCCTCATAATCCCATGTCTCTGCATCCGTGTTTCCTAGAAGGTTATCAATGTCCCGTTGCAATCTCCTTTGAGAAGCTGGACTTGCTGCTAAGTAGGCGAGTGTAAAATGGAGAACATTAGCTGTGGTCTCATGTCCTGCTACTATATTCACAAATGCATTGCCTATGATTTCCGAGTCCGATAGTCGTGCGACTTGGGTTCCTTTTTTAGTTGATCCATTGGCCGGTACGTCTCCGTAACTTGTGCGTACCAACGAGCCCATTATATCAAGACCCTGTTCCGCGTTATTTCCTTTCTGCACATCTTCAATCTTTTCCTGTAAGAACTCGTTCATATAGCCTAAGAAGTTCGCCTCTGCTTCTAGAGCTTGTTTTGCGTGCTTGTTAGGGATGATTTTGAGTATCCATTTCGGCGCGATCAGAAGGAGGATGAGATATTTCAGGGTACGAGCCAACGCTTCTACGAAACTCAACGTGTGTCCTGGAGGAGGTTCGTGAGTTCCGTACTTGGTTAATCTAGGGTCGGCATCGGGTGGGAACGTTTGGCCAGGCCAGAGGATCTTAAGGCCGAACCCGATGTTTGCGATGATATTTAGCATGAGAGATGCCGTATCGTGCTCGAGAGTCTTAAATGTCTTGTTTCCTAAGCCGTCGGGGCCGAGCCAAATGTTAATCAATCCCTGTGTTTGGCTGATACACTCCCTGAACACCAACGCGGCATTCCTCTCGTTGAAAGAAGCCGAGGTAATCTTGCGGTGCATGCGCCAAGCGGCGCCTTCGAGCGTCACTACATTCTGGCCATATTGCGCAAGAATAGCATAAGACTTTGTGGGCTTCGGGAACGCCTCTCGCTTTGAGGTAATCTGGTGAATTGCCTCTGCATTTTCCGTAAAACATATGATTCTTCCTGGGGAAACAACCAAAAAGGTATCTCCGAGTTTGGCGAATATTTTGTGGTTCTCCACGTACTGCCAATTAGGATTCAAAACACTGATATTGCGTGCATTAGATTACTACTGAGTAATAGTGGTGGGAGGAGTTGTTTAGGTTGCTCACGGTTCAATGTCTTGCCAATATTTGCGTGGAAGAAGTCTGAATAGGCGGGTCCAAAACTTATGAAATATTTGACCTGATCGGTTCCATGGACTAATAGCTGTGATAAAGAGAGGTAGGTTAGTTTTGCGACCTGAGAATGAATATCCAGGAACAAGTGAGAAAGTAGAGGTTGAAAGAGTTAAAATTTAATCAACTTACGAACAATGAAGTAAGGGAAGCCGGATCGTTTAGCGGCAGCGATGTTGGCTCTAAGCCCTGATACAATATTGAATATAAAGTATATAACTGCTGCACCTAGCAGCAATAATATTGTTGAAAACATGACGGCGACTTATTGACCCCCGCCAATACCTTTCGAGCGTATTGCCCGCTGGGGCAAGACAGGTATGCAAGTGTATGTATATCCAGGTAGGTACCTAATGTACTATAAAGTTATTCGACTTATTTATATTCGAATAGAACTTGAATTAGGTATTCTCGAGGAAATAATCTATTAATGTATAGAAGAAACAATTTGACAAGACAAGAAAAAAAATATTTCGCGCAGTCTACTTGGATATTATAACTTGGGTAGAATAGGTCTCTATGTAGATTTAGGGGGCTAGTGATGGATATATGGATGCGATTAATTGTTCGGCCCTAACGTTTCGGGATCCTGACATCCCGAGCGCTATTCCAAGATCCTTCCAACAGTGATCCCGTCCGATGGCGAGTTCCCCGGTTGTCTTCCATTCTTAGAGGCTTGGGAAACAGCTATATTTTTGGTCTCATTATTAATAACCTTCGTGTCGTTGGAACCCCGCAATTTCCCTTGTTTCAAGGTTTATGTTTCAAGTACTATGACTGTATGACAGCATTCTACGTGAACGACTTATACAATAATACTTGGAACTAAACTAATTATGGAATCTATACCTAAGTTATAAACAAGTGTAAAAGGAGTATAAATATACATAGGTAGTTATACGGACTGAATCGATCGAACAAGCGCTATACATTTTTAGGCAAGCATATCGTGGGTTAAATCCTTGGTAGCGATCTAACTAGCTGTGGACGTTGTAAGTCTCGACTTGATACCTATGTATTTGCTGGATTTGGAATGTGACCCGTGAGATACTCAGCACCCGTTGTTACACCCATTCTACCTCTGTAGAACTTCGCTTGTTGGTCTTCTCTTACGGAGCTACTCCGCATCGAGACTGGATCGTTGCGTGCTACCGAGGTTGAAAAAAATTATTTCAAAGTCCTTTGTTAAGTGACCATTTTGTTAGCGCTACTAGTAGAGAGATCCATAATACCGCTTAGAGCTGCACAAACATAGGTATAACTCATCGACGTTACCTACCTAACCTAATATATGTATAGTCAGGTAACGTTTGATGTTACCGATCAACTCTAATGCTACCTAGATTTATACCTCATTAATTCGTCCTACAGGTATGTAATTAATTACCTAAAGTTGTACGTGCCGAAAACGGCGATATGATAGATAACTGCGAGAAGCAAAAAAAAATCAGAAATCAGAGGGCCCATGTCTCGGGTAGTTCCGAAGAGGCAGAGAGGCTGCGGAGTTGCAAGGTATCTCCGCGCTGACGTAGTCGGCTGAAACCTTTCCGACCTCATATGCTGATGTCTACCTATTGTAGAGTTGGCTTGTGTAATGCGTACGGCTTGACATGATCTTTAAGTCACCAATACATATGGCCAAAGCCGACGAAAACCATGGCCTTCATATCGAACATCAAGCGACTCCATCGCAACAATGTCGCAACTATACGTAATTCGCCGCTTGCTGAGATATCGGGCGCCCTCGGCGATCTAGGTACCCTTCTGCCTCTTATGATCACCCTCGCGGTCAACGGCTCAATCTCGTTATCGACAACGCTTGTGTTTTCCGGCTTCTTCAACCTCGCAACCGGTGTCGTATTCGGTATTCCCCTACCGGTACAGCCTATGAAGGCCATCGCAGCGGCAGCCATAGCCTCCCGCGCCTCGGAACGCGAAACCGTAGCAGCAGGCAGCGTGGTAGCTATTATCGTGTTGCTCCTGAGCATTACGGGTCTATTGCACTGGGTTACGCGTATAATACCCATTCCCGTAGTCAAAGGCATCCAGTTCGGCGCTGGTCTTTCCCTCATCATCTCCGCGGGTAGCTCTTTGCTTCAGCCCTTCGTCCATAATTGGGCTTTCGCTCTCGACAACCTCGTCTGGTCGTTAGCCGCCTTCTTGCTACTCATATTTACCCAGAGAGTATCTCGGTTTCCGTACGCCCTGATTATATTTGTTACCGGCCTAGTCCTTGCCATTTTATTCGTTACTACGAGCTCCCACCATCTACCGCATTTCCATGTCTGGCACCCCTGGTTTGCACTCCCGTGGTGGAGTGCTGATGCTATCGGCATGGGCATCGCGCAGCTGCCACTGACGACGTTAAATTCGATCATTGCCGCGAGTGCTCTCGCGACGGATCTGCTACCCGATCTGCCGACACCTAGCGTCACCGCCCTCGGCATCAGCGTCGCTGGTATGAATCTCTTAGGATGTTGGTTTGGTGCTATGCCTGTCTGTCACGGGGCTGGGGGCCTCGCAGCGCAGTACAGATTTGGTGCGCGGAGCGGTGCAAGCATCATCTTGCTAGGTCTATTTAAGATGATCCTCGGTATTGTCTTCGGTGAGACGCTGCTGGATCTTCTAAAGGGGTTTCCGAGGAGCCTTCTGGGTATCATGGTCATCGCTGCGGGTCTGGAATTGGCAAAGGTGGGCCAGAGCCTGAACCACGGCGCCTCAGATCTATGGGAGTCGTCAGTAGATCAGGATCAACAGAAGAGGCATAAGAACATCTCGGACAAAGAAAGGTCAGAGAGATGGACTGTCATGCTCATGACTACGGCAGGTATACTGGCTTTCAAGAACGACGCTGTTGGGTTTGTAGCTGGAATGCTCTGCCACTGGGCCTACAAGTTTGCGGATTGGATGGAGAAGAGAAGCAGTCACCTATCGGGCGAAAGACGGCCTCTATTACACAGTTAAAGAATATTAGGTAGCTATACGACTTTCATCATTAAGAATGAGATAGCTACTTGTTTAACAAATATATAACTTGGGGCCTTTTTTCCGAGGCACCGTGATGTAATGTAAAATAATTCTAGGTACCTCATTGTTAGAGTTACTACATCTTAGATGATGCTCTAAATATGATTTACCTAGTATATTTTATGTTTTTATAAGATACTAACCTACAAGGTTTGTACAAATTTATAACTAACTAGATAGTGACTTACATGCTTCGAATCTGTTCAGTTATTGAAGTTACTATGAATATCTGGTTGATGTGAATGTGAACTTAGTCTTGTGATGACTTGAGAGTTTGATCTCACCTTCTATGCATCTAAATTGACTCGATGTGCCTTGAAGCCCGATATGTACACTCGAGCAGTACATATTGGGCATCTGCATTAGTCTCGTGTCAATTGACCAAAGATGGTGTAAGTATGGATATATTTGCCAATCTTGCAGAAAGATGCCCGTGATGATTGACGGGAAACTTTCTTATCATATCTATCCGTTACACACGTCTACACTAGGTGTGAGACTGGAAACAGCTGCAAAAATAAAGCGCAGTTGACCATATGGTTCGAGGAGAAAGCTGCATTGCTGCAATTGCTGCAGAAGCTAACAACCTAACCAAGTTAGCTTTAAAGCGTCGATTAGTTCACCCCCTACCGACCAATTACAACCAATCACAGTTAGCCAACAAGCTCTACCCGAACCTGCGCAGAAAAAGCAACCAGTACCTTTGCAGGTTAGTGGCTGTTAGTGGCTGCAAAGGGTCTTGGCGGGGGGATCTGGAAATCAGAAGGTTTGGCACTGTCGGACCATTAGAGCCATTGCAAGCCATTAGCATTTGCTGTATTTTTTTTACGTTGCGGGAAGGCGGTCACAACAATCCCGTTCCCTTCTACTGGCAGTACACCCACCTTCAACTCTCCATACCATTTCTCTAGCAAACCCCAAACCGGCACGCCGTAGACGAAGGAGCTGTATTTAATTCAACAGCGATGACTTCGTCCATAGCTGCCGCGACCTATCCTGGTCGCCAACCAGTAGTACATCACGGCTCTCCGCCGCCAAGCGTGCCGCCCGCACCCGATCCAGATTCCGCATCTGTTGCTACTGCCGATGCGAATGCGCCGATAGCTTTTTCCGTTCAACAAGATACCTACCGCGATGACATTCAAGAGATGCATTCAATGCCTTCGCCCCCTACCGTCTCTCCCCTTTCTACGCCGGCAGCGACCCAAGTGAACGTTGGCGATAATGACGATGTTCCCGACCTCTCTACCGGGCCTCTACCAGCTACGAATGGAGCCTCTGAACACGCCTCGGCCGTCCATCTAGCCTCTACCAACTTGAGCGTAGCTACAGATACCTTTTCTATGAAACTCAATCGAACCCAAATACTAGACAATGCACAACGATCGCGCAACCAAGTGGAAGCTGTCGCGACCACCGACCCCGAACCCGCAGGCATGGATTTCTCGTCTCGAACCATGTCTTCTAACTTGCGACACACCCAGGGTACCGTACAACCCAATGCCTATATCATGAATATCGCCCAGGCTAGTTCGGCCCTCTTCCAGAATCAGGGGCCCTCCATTGTAGCCCCCTCTGAGGTCTCCTTACAGGCCTCGTTTACTCCCCAGGAAAGCGACGCTGTGACGACAAGCGGCGACCGCACATCGACTAGCGCCAGCCAAAAGTTAGAATCTTTTGCCAGGATAGAATTTGCCGATAGTGTTTTTCAGATGACTACCTACGCTGTCATTATTGGTCGCGATCAACGGGCCATGGACCAAGCTAGGAGGGATGAGAAGAGGGAATTAAACTACAGACGCAAAGTGGAAGAGAATGCGAGAAATGGATTGCCTCCCCCGACGCCCCTCAACGTCGACCGCGGGAAATTTAGTAAATCCTATGTGAGCGAAGAAGGTGGCATGCTAGGCCCCGAGTCGGATGGTGAAGATAATGTCCGGCCTGTGAAGAAACGTCGCCCAAGTTCTGCGAATAGGTCTCATAACGGTGACGAAGACGCTCAAAGTGACCATGTCAAGTCCAACAGACAATATGTTTCCCACACTCCCGGAGCCGCCGCTGTAGATTTAGGCACCTTGCAACCGTCGCCCTCTCACATTCCATTCGTGGGTATTCATTCTCCCGGACCAGATATCGCAAGTAAAACTCGCGGTATATCGAGACAACATCTTAAGATCGAATTTAATGAGAAAAGAGGCGTATTTGAGGCTGTTGCCCTACACAAGAATGGGTTTTTCTGCGATGACACGCATTACGGTCTCGACGATCCAGTCACCCTCAGGAGCGGAGATCGACTTCAAATCAAAGATGTGGAGTTCACATTTATCCTCAACGGTGTTCAATTAGGTAAGACAGGCGGCGAGGAATATCACGAGGAGGAGACATCGAGTAAACGTATGTCTATTGGAGGCAAGGAGATGAGCTTTGACTTTGAACACTCCGACCATGAGAACTTTCGAGACACAAGCGAAGAGCTATCAGAGATTGAGAATGTACCGACACCTGTCGTTGGGTCTGATGAAGGTAATGGAGAAGGGGATGGCAACGGTGAAGGTGAAGGCGACAATGACGGCGAAGGCGAAGGCGAAGACGAAGAAGGTGACGATCAAGGAGTCACTGAGCTACAGTCTGATGAAGTAGACGAGTCGAATATTGGCATGAGGGACTCCACCGAACTTCAGGACATGCATCAGTCCCAGTTTATGACTTCTGATATGCCGAAACGGCGTGGTCCAGGGCGACCACCTAAAGATGGAATAATGTCAAAGAGGGAACGGCGGCTACTTAAGAAGCAGATGCAAGAGACCTCTAAGAAGACTATTCCCCAGGACCCGCAAGGACAGAGTGAGAAGATTAAACGGCCAGTAGGCCGACCTAGGAAGAATCCTCTCCCTGAGGATGGAGACAAGCCGGAGAAGAGAAAGTATAATAAACGAAGGCCAAAGGAAGAAGGCGAAGAAGGTTCCGATGCCGAGAGGCGGGCGAGGGAAAAGAAAGAGAAGAAGGTCCGACCGAAGTCACCGCCTTTGGAGCTCCGAAAGGAGGACTTTACCGAAGAACAACTACAGAAACCCACCAAAAACTACGGCGTTCTGATTGATGAGGCCTTAACCAATGGTCCTCCGGATGGCCTAACCTTGAAACAAATCTACAAGAGGATTATGTCAAAATATCCATGGTTCTACTTCTCTGCCGAGACAAAAGGATGGGAAAGTAGTGTCCGGCATAATCTAATTGGGAACGAAGCCTTCAAGAAGGCTGAGGGAACCGGACTTTGGTCTCGTGTTCCCGGCGTTGAGCTTGATGCCGGAAAGAAGCGCAAAGCAAGCTCACCAGATCGACAGCTTGGATCGGCCCACCTTCACTCACAGCTATCAACACAGTATTACCAAAACGGATCTTACTTACCTGCGGGCAACTATAACTACGGCCATAATGTATCACACTATACCAACGACACGAAGCAGATACCAACAGGATACCACCCTCCTACAAACCAACCTCCTCAGCCCCTTTCAGCACAATCTTCTCAACCAGTCGTTCAGCCAGTTTACTCGACGCAATCTCCCGCGCCTGCACAATTGCCCCCTGCGTATCTGGCCAGGCAATCCATTAACGCCCAGCAAAGTACATACAGCTCGCCTTACGCGAAACCGCCCCCTCCAATTAATATTCCCGTCAAATCGGAAGCTCCTGCGGTACAAAACCCTCAGGCACTACCCGCAGCTCCAGTGCAACAACCTCTAGCTCAACCCCCCTCACAACCCCAGCAACCGCAACAGATATCGAGTATTCCTGAGAATACAGTCCGATCACCGCTATCACCAGAAATCGAGCGAGCCATTGCTCAGTTTAGGGGAAACATGTTGAACGTTATTTCGAAGCAGACACCCCATGCTGCACAAATCATTGACTCGGCCATAGGTCGTGCGCGAGGGTTATCAGCCCAAACCAGTGTACCTCCTGGGTTTGAATCAGTCGAAAAAACACTATTTAACGCGGTACAAAATATGATTACCGAAATGCAAGCGAAGCGACAACAGCAGGCAACGTCCGCATCTCCCGCTCCCACCTCGACCTTACCAAATGCTGCGAAATCAACGCCGACTCCGAGCGCACCAACGCCAAGTCCAGCACCCGCGGCCACACTTGAGGCTGAAATACAACGCAGAATCAGGAACTTTAGGGGTACTATGGTTGTCGCTCTTAAGAAGAAGACGGACCAAGCAGAAGCTATCGTGGACTTGGCTATTAACCGAGCCCAAGGTTTGCCAAATGCTGGACCGATTCAAGGCTGGGAGGAGGCGGACAGGTTGATGGTTAAATCTGTCACGCAGATAATTGCAGATGCGCGCAGAGCGCATAACCTCCAGGTACAACCTCCGCTTTCAGGGGTAACTCAGGCTCCGCAACAAGTTCCGCGACAAGCTCCATCTGCATCACCGGCTCCAACTCAGCCCCCTACTCCTACAACGGGGACCGCTCAAACCAGTCAAGGAATATTACCAAGTATGCCCTCACATACTATCCAGGCCACCAGTACAAGGCCAACGCCATCAGTTACCCGTCCCGGTGTTTCAATCCAACGTCCAACCCCGATGGGTATCTCGCGCCCAGGGGTAAACTCAATAAGTCGACCTTCTGTTATGCGCAAGGAATCAACAGGTGCACCAAATCTGCCAAGCCCGGGCGTACCGGCAGCACCGATGCACAATGTTTCCAGTCCAGCGCTACCAAGCGCAGGCGTTGTTGATCAAATCGCGGGGCAGAAGCGACCACACGACGATGCGTTCAGCCATAGTCAAGGAACTGCCGACAGACCGGAGCCGGTTAAAGCTCCCACACCTAACATGTCTACTCCAGCACCACCTAGCGCAGGTGTCGTTGATCAAATTGGACAGAAAAGATTGCGGGAGGACGGATCTGTCAATAGCAACGGAGGTGTTGGGCAACACGAGCTACATAGCAAGGCCGTCGCGCCTGCATCCGCACCTGCGCCGGTACCCAATATATGCAGTCCTGCACCACCCAGCGCGGGCGTAGTCGACCAAATCGCTGGTCAAAAGAGGAACTTAGACGAAGGGCCCGGGAGCACGGGCTCAGAACAACCCGATGCTAAGAAGCCAGCTATCTCGTCGGCTTCAGCAACCTGATATGCAAAGTAGATTATACAGTCTTGTACTATTGACTTAGAGCGATGGTTGTACGATGGAGATGGATACCTGTTGAAAAACTGGACCTCCTTAGCTTTAGCTCCCCCCTTCTCTACCCTTATACATTACTCCTTCTGAAACTACTCGGCCCCTTTAATCGATTTCTGGGCATACTCGGACCTGAAACCCGCAGCGGCATTCTAAAAGGATAGCAGACTGGGCAGATGAAGTTTCGAATGGTTCATGAGATACGAACTTGACTATCGATATCGTCATCGTATTCGTTCGTTTTCTCCTACCAGGGAGCGCAGCATGGGTGGATGGGCACCAAGACGGGATAAAGCGTGCATTCCTACCTATTTATTTAATACCGGCGAGAATCCGATCCTGCACAGCGGCACAGACAGGTCAGCAAGCGGGCCAATACCCTGCATGAGGGAGGCTTCTATCTACAAGCAAGCACATATTTCTTCTTCTCTTGTTTTTTGGCGGGAACTACTAGGTTGCCAATATCACTGCTACTATATCTATCCTATCTACTTATGTAGAAGAAAGCTGTCAGAAAGTCGAGTTTCCGATATTGGAAAGATACCTAGGAAGGAGAAGAAGAAAAGGGCGCGGAGTAAAGAGAGAGGCGATATCATACTTCGACGCGCGTGGGTCTACAGAACTACCGCGACGACATAGGATTAGGAAGAGAAATATGGAAGCGAGACTGAGAAGAAGGGAGCAAGTAGGAAAGCATTTGGATGGGATGCGGACGCGAAGTGAGTCGAATAGAGTAGGAGGCATAATAATGCTGGTCGCTAGGAAGGTAGTTAGTCAGTCAGTCGAGGAAAGCGAATCAATAATCTTTATTACCCCTAACATGTCTAACTTGGGATGAATACGGTACCTGATATTCATCAGCGAGGAATCTAAGATATGTGAACGAGGATGCTCGGAGAGCCTTGATGTACATACCTAGGTATATTTCCAGAGCCAAGTTATAATAGAACACGAGCTAATGGTAGCTTGTAGCGTCTACAATAAACATGCAAATTAAGTTCTACAAATATTTGATTCATCGCATTTATTTCTAAGTATCCTACTACCCATATTGGGCACGTATGACAGCAGCAAACAGACAGTCCTGCGGCATACACTACTGTTGAAGTTATCATGTACAATAATAGACGCCGGCCCTCGAGTCGCCGTATCTAGTATACTCCTCCTGGCCTAATGCTCCTACGTGGTTGAATCCGTCGAAGCTACCCAAATGCATAGAGTCCCCCGTCTAGCTAGTTGATATCTATTCGTACCGCATCTACGCTACTTTTTGTTATAACAAATGTGTATAAGCATACACTAATGGCTGTTTAGCATCTAGAAGAGTCCATCAATCTCGCCTGTCTCGGTATCAACATCCACATTCAGGTATCCCGGGGCAGTGGGCAGGCCAGGAATTGTTTGGATGTCAGCAGCAAGGGCGTACCTATTCAAGTTTAGCTTATGATCTATATAGGGACATGCCAATACACTTACAGATATCCTGCACCTGCGGCCATCCTTACATCCCTAATTGGAACGGTGAAGCCGGTCGGTGCACCCTTAAGATTCGGGTCATGGGAGAGCGAATATTGGGTCTTAGCGATGCAGATTGGGAGGTTTCCAAAGCCCTGTTTTGTGTATGTGTCGATCTTCTTTTGGGCAAGCTCGCTAAATTCGACAGCGGACGCGCCGTACATTTTCTGGCAGATACTCTCCATGCGTTGCTCGATAGTACCCTCACCCACATCGTACAGTAGCTTGAAGTCCTTTGGTTTTTCAGAAGCGGCGATGACTCCCTTGGCAAGATCTACGGCGCCCTTACCACCTTCGGCCCAGTGGTTTGCTAGGATGGCGTCTTCGGCACCGGCAGCAATGGCCTCCTCTCGTAGCGCAGCAATCTCAGCATCGGTATCGGTGGCAAACTTATTGATGGCAACCACGACGGGGCAGCCATAAGCCTTGGCGTTTTCGATATGCTTCTTGAGGTTCACGCAACCGTTTCGGAGGATCTCGACGTTCTCCTGCTTATACACAGGGTCCAACGGCGCACCGGGAGCAATGGGCGGGCCGCCGCCGTGCACCTTCAAGGCGCGAACAGTAGCAACGATGACGACTACATCGGGCACTAGGCCAGAGGCACGGCACTTGATGTTGAAGAATCGCTCACCTCCCATAGTGAAGTCGAAACCAGCTTCAGTGACAGCGAATCCTGCCTTGACGTTGTGATCCTCATCAGGCTCTGTACCTGCTAGCTTGAGCGCCATCTTGTCGGCAAGGATAGAGCTGTTGCCAATACTAATATTGGCGAAAGGACCAGCATGAACAAATACAGGCGTTCCCTCTAGTGTTTGCATCAAGTTTGGCTTGATGGCGTCCTTCATGAGAGCTGTCAATGCACCACCGGCTCCTATATCATCACAGGTGACCGGGTCTCCCGACCTCGATGTAGCAACGACCATTCGGCCTAGCCTTTCTCGCATATCAGCAAGACTTGTGCTCATCGCCAGAATAGCCATACATTCGCTAGCAACGGAAATATCAAACCCGGTGTTTCGGCTTTGCCCCTTTTCAGTTGGCGCAGTACCAACAGTGACACCACGTAAGTGGCGGTCGTTTACATCCAGTACGCGCCTCCAGGTGATAGTTTCCGGGTCGATGTCTAGTCTAGCGAACCGGTGGATTTCATCTTCGGTAAGCTCGTCAGGGTCAATCTTGTCGATTCCTAGCTTCTTCAATCGGCGGAACATGACTGGCGCAAATGTCCTCTTTCCGTTCTTCGCTGGCACCAATCTTCGATAAAGGGGGCCATCCTTCTGAGTGTTCTCGTGGAACATACGAGTCTCGATTGCAGCGGCAAGAAGGTTGTTCGCTGCGGTGATAGCATGGATATCACCAGTTAAGTGCAAGTTGAATTCATCCATGGGTATAACTTGACTGTACCCACCGCCAGCTGCACCTCCCTTGATACCAAAGGTAGGGCCTTGACTCGGCTGTCGGACATTAGCGAAGGTAATTCGACCTAAATGCGCACCCAATGCTTGAGCCAAGCCCATGGTCGTGGTGGACTTCCCTTCACCTAACGGCGTGGGAGTGATACCTGTAACTACAACATATCGGCCATTTTGACGGTGTTCCAGACGCTTTAAAAGGGTGAGGTCCACCTTGGCTTTATATGCGCCATATGGTTCCAACTCATGATGCGCAATACCAATCTCTTCTGCGACTCGCGTAATGGGCTTCGGTGGCTGTGATCTTGAAACCTCGATATCAGAGGGAACTGGAGAACGCAGATTGAGAGGAAGCGGAACGATACGCCTTTGTTTTTGTCGCTCGAAATACATGGTGGTTGCATTAACAACATTTTGCAATAACATAGCAACCGTCATAGGTCCTACACCACCGGGAACCGGTGTGATATAGGAAGCAACCTGGGAAGCCGACTCAAATTCTACATCACCTACCAGCCGTTGGCCTGACTTCTTGGATGCGTCAGGAATGTAGTTGGTTCCCACATCGATAACCACGGCACCTTGTTTGAGCCATTCTCCTTTTACGAAGGCCGGTTGGCCAATAGCGGCAACGACGATATCTGCCTTCTTTAATTTCTCCTCGATGCCTTCAGTCTTAGAATGGCAGACGGTGACGGTTGCGTCGGCGTTTTTCAACAAGTAACTGACCGGGCTGCCGACGATGTCGCTTCGGCCGAGAACCACGGCGTCCTTGCCCTTCAGGTCCACACCAGCTTCCTCTAAGAGGACCATGACTCCCTTGGGAGTACAGGGGATAAAGAATGGGTGGCCACCTTTCTTGGCGAGCTCGCCGATGTTTCTGGTACCGAAACCATCGACATCTTTTTCATCCGCGACGGCGGAAGTAATGGTGTACTCGTCGATATGCTTGGGCACCGGTAGCTGAACTAGGATGCCGGACACGGTAGAGTCATTATTTAGGACGTGTAGTTGTGCCAAGAGTTCGGCCTCGGTAATATCCTCAGGGAAATGCAGGAGTTCGCAGGTAATATTGGCCTTTCGTGAGTCACAATGGTTAGGTCAGGGGTATTACATGTGGAACGATATATTAAAGTTCGAATTCCTACCTCTCGAGCGGCCTTAAGCTTCATGCGAACATAAGTTGCTGGTGAGAGAATTAGCCGCGGCGCAGGTTGCTTACGGCGATTGAGTCAGAAACCCCGGATTAAGACGTACAAGAATCAGATCGATCACCGACTATACCAGGTAACAACAAGGTTAGTACCTATTATATCCGAATTATAGAAGTACGAAGTATGGAATATAGAGTATAGAGTATGGTAATTACAAACCTTGGATAATCTTGAGGCATGGCTGGTACTTGGGGTTAGACTTTTGCTTTTCGACTATCTCAGCGGCCAGTCCCTCGCGGATCTTCTTTGCGATGGCTGTGCCATCTAACCTAATAGCACTCATTGTGGGGTAACTCGTTGAAAAATGTCTATTAGAGGTATGCGACAAATGCGACAATGAGACAAGTGGCCAATGCCGTTGCACCGTTTCTATTGAGGCGTAATTAGATGAGCCTGGTCTTGTGCAACACAGCTGATACAACCCTCGACGGGTATTTGCAGACGTGGTGAGTCGGGCACGTTGTTGAGAGTAAGCTGAAATCCGGGGAGCGAAATATGAGCGATTCGCTTGGCTCGGGACCGCAAATAGAAGCTCACAACTGCTAGACAAGCAATTTGACAAGCTGCAGGCTTTTCGGGACCCGCAAAGCGTGCAAAGCGGAGTATTAGTCGGCCGGGTTACAACGAATCTAGTGGTAACGCGTGTGACCGGCCGAAGGATGAATTGTGCGGTTGGACATGGGAGATGATGGAAATTGTGGTGGCCTCGACCGATGCTTGCAATGACTAGAGTCATAGCTGCTAGTTCCAAAGCAGGTAGGTAGCACGCTATACGATAGAGTTCGCTGTTAGGTACTGTACAATTACTACAATACCAGTGTCAGTAATCTAGAAGGATCCGTCCGAAATAACAGTCATCGAATCAAATGTCAATGCCCACAGCATCGAGGATAAAAAATGAAAGATATGGTTAGATAAAACATAATATAA